CTATTATCTGAGTTCTGCGGCCAACATATCAAAACCGGCAAGTTCACTGATGAACTGTATGTCTTTTGATAAATTGGAGCATGACCAGAGATTGGCAGTGTCCTGCTTGATTATCTCAATGATTAAGTGCGATGTCAAGAAATCTTGCAGTCATATTGCAATGAGATAGATAAGTAGACCTTTGGCATCAATCCTATTGTTTATGGTTTTGTATGCGATGACTTTTCTTTTTTTAAATAGGCATCTTTCAGCTGTATTACGTTTATCTTTTATTCAAACCATAGATTCTTTTATGCGACTAAACTATGTTTTTATACGATGCTTTTTTATGCGATTAAACTATGACGCGTAAAGATGATTTTAGGGTATTAAATAATTTAGGGATTAGATTTCTTTGTATGCGATCAACTTTATTTTGTACTACGATAAACTTTGTAGTACTCTTTTACGATCATAACAGCATCTTGTATATAGGCATCTTCTTGAGATTATCCTGCCCATCCCTGAAGACAACTTATGTGCTTTAGACTACCCGAGACTTCAATGTGGGGATACCGTTTGCTGTGGCCTTTGTGCTCGATTAAAATTGTCTAGTTAATCAGCCAGTTTATTTAACTGTGCTTAGCTGCATATCTGATGCACTGGCAAAAAACATGCTCTACCCGCATAAAGGTTTTGGAAGCCAGATATTGACTTTGAGTAAACTGAAGCGTTGAGTAACTTTACTTGAAAGGATTATGAACAAATTGAATATGGGAAGCATGACTACTCTTGTTTAAGAAACAATACAGTTTCACATCCCTTCCGCATCTTTAAATATATTCTTGGATGAGTATACTGGCCTCTGTATTCGGCCTGCTTAAAACAAGAACAAATAACTTCACCATTTACTTGATTCGTAATCTTCATACAATCCCCCCTTTAGTTTTGAATTTCCTAGAACATATTGCAAACATTTGATATGGTTACGAATTATTACGACCGGCCACACTGAAAATAGTATTATCGGAAGAAGTGTTGGATGACTGGTGGGTCTTTGGCTTATATTTGCAAAGGTTTGCAGTTAGAGCGGGAATATTAGTGTTATTTTGCTGTCAAACCGAATACAGTTTAACCCTTTTACGATGGTACTAGCTAAGGCTCACGGGAATGCTTGCATATATTACTTCTTACCTGCCCTTTTTAAAATAAATGATTCATGGGAGAAAAAAAATAAAAGCCAGAATTAAAGGGGAAGGGGATCACAATCGAGCATATTGGTTGGTTGATATTCTTGAACTTTGAAGCACAATGATATTCAAGGAAGCAGCAGGCATACAACCATAAGATCGAAGCGTACCAATACCCGTGCAGTGTCGAATTCATGTCTAAGAATTGCGCCACATGCTTAAGAGTTGAAGAGGTATAATCAAATACTACTTACATGTTGAAATGTATATCCAATAAGGAACGGATAACATGCCGACCAGCATGTCTGAAATAGCCAGATTCACAATGAAGTAGTTGGTGTAAGTCTTCATTCTCCGCGAACCAAGGGCAAATGCACTGATGACGAGGGTATTTCCCGCCAAAATAAGAATGACGACAAAGCCAAGGTAGACAGAAAGGACTGTATCCAAAGCTGTTGTCATCCTGCAAAACAGTAAAAAGGTTGTGAAGATTCGCGTCTGGCAGGGACACAAAACTGTTGCTGGTACTTTACTAAAAAGATTCTACTTGCTAATTTTGCGTGATCTTGAAACAATAAGCGCCATTGGCCATTTGTTTGAAAAAACAAATCACTGTCAAGAAAAGCAAATACAATCAGCAAAATGCAAACATTGAAGAAAGGCGAGAAGCAAGAGAAAAGCAGCTTTTTTGCTTTTGATTTAAAGCATATCTGGCCCATTCAACATGAAGCTTTTTAATCTTGGTAGGACATTCAGTTTGAGCCGGGCAAATGGGCATCAGGAATCCAAAAAAATTATCCTTGGGCAAGACCAACATCACATGGGGCCAAGGGGCAATAGCCCCTCCAATTTTTCGCTAAATAAAACGCGAAAATTTACATATAGATAAACCTGGTTACAAAAAACATCGAACCAAAATCCACAAGTAAAACAGTTAAGATTTTCCGACTGATTGGCATCTATTTTACTGTTGAGGATACGAAGTCCTGTGGATTAGCAATTTATCAAGAACCCATCATGACTAAAGATTGCCTTTTATTCTCCAATCCCAACGGAATGAAAATGAATTCTAATTAACACTGACAATCTGTGCTTGCTAACTGTTATCAAGGCTAACCTGACGTGGCATTGCCTTTTTTAAAAATGAATAAAAAATATACGGCTAAAATTCCCTGATAAATAATGAAGGCTTGTCGTTTCAATATCGATATCAAGTTTCCGCCTCTTTACAAATTTGACTGGATCCTCTTGGTATAAAGCTAGCAAACCTGAACAGAAGGGCCCCCAGCACCCCTCCCCGGCCTTCACCCCATGGTGGTGGCATTGCTGAAGGCCAATTACAATTACCAAGTTGATTAAAAAACAAAAACCCTGAAAGACCTCTCAGTAGTGTTCAAGTTGTTGAAAATGAAGGAAATCTTGATACTATGTGAACAAGCCTTGCTGTCGCAACTGTGGAAGCTCCTTGGTTATACTTCGCGTTTGCTTCCTATATTCAAAATTAAACCGAAGAGTAGAACAGTCAAAACAGCGAAAGCCTCTCGCGATAGCTTGTTATTGAACAGCGGCTCAACTCACAGCTGGTGCTCAATCGACTCGCGGTTCGAAACTTTAATTGCAATAATAAAACAGTAAATGTGAGTAAGATGGGCGTAGGCATGAAATACAGCGAGAAATAGAATTGTAGCGCCGTTTGAAATGATTTGATGGAGGATGAAATTGGAACGCCGACAATTCACCTATCACGTCAATAGCCAGTTGGACGGGGTTTAAACACGTGCGGCTTTTTGCCTGAAGACATTATAACCTAAATAGTTAAATAATAAATGAGACGAAATCACTTGCGCACTTTGCTTGATCAGTCTAATTCAAATATATTTATTCATCATCACTTAAGTATGATCTACTACGACCAAAACACTTTGAAATAGAATTACAGTTTAAACCTATTTTGCATTTATTTATTTTATTCCGACTATGCAAGAGAACGCAATTATTCTTTTAATAATTAACGATGAATAAAGGAGATTGAAGATATTTGCAGCAAGAGATCAATAATAAAAAAAGACAGCTTTCTAAACTATGATAGATAAAAATCAAGACTTTGGGTCGTTTAAAAACTTCCCTTGAGAAACATTTACATCTTGCCTTATTAGAATCGCTTGCTGATCGTTAGTTTATTGGCTGTACATAAATTAGAAAATACATCCGAAAAAGTATACATTTAGGCTTTGGCTGGTCTGACACTGTTCAGGGCAAAAAACAAGTGTGAAGTGAGGAAAACCACTGACACCTCTAGACCGGTTTCGCTCAATATCAGGGCTCACCGGTACCATTAGACGGAATAAGGTGGTGTAAAGCTAGATAAATAACTAGGGGGCTCGGTAGATTTCCTATCAAAATATCATCATTGAAACTTTTCAACAGAAAAGTTGCTGAATGCTGTTTATATCACTAAAGGATGTTTGTTTGCAATTCCTTGTTCTGGTGTCATTTGCATTTTTATGTTTCTGCAGTCCTTTAGACGTAGCATTTGTTGGATCCCACAGATGCACAGAAAGCCCGTTTATACTAATAAACACCAAGGAAGACAAGTGCTTGGCAGTCATTGAGGATCTCATCTTTGTGCAAACCAAATATTTATCTTTGAAAACCCTCTCTCTGCTTCAGCACTTTTTATTGGAATCACATTCATGAATCCTTGAATTAACATTGTATTAATCTCTGTTGGAACACTTCTTGGATCACTGAAGAATTCTCTGAATGCAGGTAAGATATCCTTGAAGTTATCTGGAACCTGTTGCAAATCCTGATAATGCTGTTTTCTCTGTCTGTCTCTGTCTCTGTCTTTTTAGGAATAATAGCTTGGATGTCCTGCATAAGAGGAGCTTCAGAATCAGTGATCAACCACATCTTCATGCTATCAATCAAACCTTGTAAAAATTGACCATGATTGAAAGAAGCGTAGCCATGTCTTAAATGAAAGAACTTCAATCCAATGCTTTAGGAATCTGAAATGAATACTCTGCTCCAAGGGAGTTCCTTATTTTCCCAAGAGCATTTACTGTCCACCTTACATAATTAGATGCTTTGACAATGTTAATCTCGCTCTTCTGGAGAGATTCTGAAAGAACTGATAACAAACTGAGTTGTGTACATTTTGTTAACCACGCTTTTATAAGTAATTTTGTCTGTAGATGTAGTAGAAAGTGCCTGAAAATGCTTGTATATTGCAGGATAGTTTTGCCATAGAGAATTAACTGCTCGAAAAGAAGATGCAACCCATCTCGTTGTCAAAGTTCTCACTACACTACGCAATTGAACTTCAATGTCACTGGCTATTTCCTTTAATTCTTGTTGCAGTTTTGGTGACTGAGAATACACTGATGCCAAATAACTATTTGGGGGTATCTCTCTTTCAGTTTTGTTGCTACTCCCCTGATGGTTCTTTGCATGACAGATCGAATCCAACACCATCACTAGCGAATCCAATAAAATGTTTGGTTAAGTAGTCATAAGTAATATTGTTTTTGTCAAGAATTTCAAGAAATGAATTGTAAACAACATCTGCACTTTGACCACTAAGTTTGATTATGTCAAGAAAAAAAAAGTTTTCTGGTGACCCCTTTATCACTGACCGTAAGTAAACTATCAAGCAACACGACTTGGCAAATGATGTTGCTTCATCTATGATAATGGGAACCATCTGTGATTCCCAAGGACTTCTTTAATTAGTGACTCTACCATGGCTTCTTTTGCAGTATCAATCATTTCTGTACATGACCACCTTGAATCCAATGTTTTCCCATTTCTAATCCAATTTTACATTTGGGGTTTATAAGAGCTCATAATCAGTGTAAGACCTGTCTTTATTGGCAATATGTTATGCTGTTCTTATGCATTTCTCAGTGTTTTGTCTTTGATAATTAATACTGGAAATTGTGGCATTTTCGATTGATTGTATCTCTCTTTCAAGGAATAGTTTATTAGCAGTCAAATAAGCTTTGCTATTTGCATGTTTCACAATCTTTTTTCTAAGCTGCTTTTGTGCAGCACTCTTTTCTGCATCTGAAGATATCTCACAGTTGATCCATTCTCTCCTCAAATGTATACCATGGTCACGAAACATATTAATGCTATGTATGTTTTTGCAAACTCTGCATCCAATCTTGTCATAATGCAGCATAATTAATGGGTATGTGGATAAGAAATAATCTGCTTGCTTGCGAGACCAACAGCATGTATAGTATGACTGAATAACAGCAGGATTTGGTTCAGATGGCCTTATAGGGTTTTCACCTTTATCGATCTCATCTTCTTCAACGTGGTCTTGTCCTAAGGGCAGTAGTGCTTCTTGTTTCCCATTCTCCTCAAGCTCTTCCTCTTCGAATGTGGGGATCGTTGCAACCTTACAACTTCGAAAGTATTGTAAAAGACTTCCTGCTCTCTTGGACATGGCTTGCAAACTTGCCTTTAAAAAATTTGAACTTGGAAAACTGGATGCCCACTATATATCGGTTGGTTTTGCTGTTGTGATCATCTGACGATAATCTCATATTTAAAAAATAGAACATTACCATTTTCGGAGAAAAAATAGGGGGGGGGCTATAGCACCCCTAAAATTGAAGAAAAAATAACTAGGGGGCTGCGACTCCCCAGCCCCCAAGCTCTACAGCCCTGGTGGCAATACATGTGGGAGCTTGTGTAGAAAGAAAAAGAAGAACCCGTGAGTCTTAGAGACTCGACAGTTTAAACATACAGATTAAACTGACAGCTCGACAGATAAAAGTTACTCTGTAGACTTGTCCACTTGATGATAAGGCCTTTGTCCATGATTTGACGCAACTAATTTGTTTTTTTAAATAAAAAATATCAGTTGGGGTCCTTGGGTTCCTCTCGGGGTTTTACGGTCATAAACCACATCCAGCTCAAGTTTTTGAGGATTTCAAGATTTTAGTGGACATTTCAAATTCATACCTGTCTAGCTACTGCCGTATTCTGCCGTGAGATTTTGTGTATTAAACCACAAGTTTGTGTATAAAACGGTAATTAAACCCAAGAAACCGTATTTTTCAATTGTTATTTGTTTCAAAACAAATGCAGAATGAAAACCTGATGTAAAAACAAAAACAAATGATTCAGTATGAACACTACATAATAAAACACATTGCTGATTACAAAGATTCACAGAATGGTCCACCACGAGTCAAAAGTTCGATCTATTTAGAACATTTTTACAAATGGGCCTCAATACTATATCACCCTCAAAGGAGGTTAAGAAACGAAATCTCAATACAGGGAAGAGATTTCAAAACAGGTCTCGGATCTATGTTTGAATTGAAAATAAAGCCATACATAGCCTACAGGCAAGGAGATTCTTAAAGCAGGATAATGGGAAGCCTAGGCAAGCTAAAATGCTCCCGTAAAAAGAAGCGATTTTCATATAACTATGTATCAATATATTAATTTATATGTTTCATTGACTAAAAGCAAGCACTTGAAGTTACTTTCTCTAAAATGAAATTCGGATTCATTGAGATCAGAACTATTTCATATCCAGAATTATTTCGATGTGGAAAACGAAAGCATGTTAATACCTCACAAGCGCCGGAGGGGAGAGGGGGACTTAATTGATAAGAAAGCGTTGACTAAAACCCCTATTGGACGTGACCCGGTTATAACAAACCGAAAGGATCGAGATTCACGTGGCGGCGAAGGCTATCGCGATCACGGCTAAACAAACAAACAACACGAACTGGTTGTAAGATAATCAGTGAAAAACACATGGTAATGACCTCGAGTTGTCTTACACCAAAGTAGCGACATTTTATCAAACTCAATGATAAAATCTAATATCTAAAGGCCAAAGGAAAAGCTCCGCTGTATAAATAGCGACGTCTTTGCCAGGGGTGAAGATAAGAACCAAAACGTGGACATTTTTAAGTGAGACGCGGGAATCAGTTGAACGAACAGTTTATTCGCACTACCAGTAATGGATATTTGCAGTCATTATCAAGATAAACGTGAGAAAGACATATATTGAAAATGACATAGTCTTTGGATCAAACGAAAATAATGAAGAACATACTTTGAAAGTTTCTCTACTTTCAACGACGGTGAATCTACTTCTGCGAACCTTTATCAACCTGCTTTCCAAAGGTTTAATTTAAGTGGTGCGTGAATGTTTTCAGTTTGTCTTAAAAGTAAAACCAGCATCCAATGGGCTACGCAATCAGTTAAAATTCAAATTACGATTCATACAAAGAACAAGGGGGTCAGCACTAACACTTGCAATGCAGGGGATGAAGATTTCACAAAAAAGGTCACTATTCGAGCTGAAAACTAAAGATACAAAAAACCAGCAAAGTAAAAACTGACCTGGCGACTCAAATTCGCTGCCTTCTGTTCAGCAAGTAATTCTATCTTCTGGTGACACGGACTGAAAGATAAGTAATGAACAATAAGAATCCCCCGCAATCTCACTTGATTTTTGGCCACATATGATCAAACACTATTTTACAAACAGACATGAAAATTCTCCTTTCATGTTTATATAATGTGATTTCAAATGAAAGGGGATGAAAGTCCTTTTCATAGTTCTCTTTTTATTTGCATGGGCTTTTACAGGTGTTTTTTCTGTTTCCTTGCCTTGTTTGTTAAATCCACTATGGTGCAAAGGTTCAGATTTCAAAACAGCTCTAACCCCCGGGTCTTAACACGAAGCAGCTTGTTGAGCGTAAAAGAGCGACACAAAACGGTGCTTGGGGTGAGCTATTTCAGCTTTGGGGTGTGCAGCCCGCGTTCAACGTGAGAACACAAACACGTGATAAAAACAACGTGATAGTGTAGATATTTTGATAAAATTTTCCTGCGAACACCCTAATTCGTTGAAAAATTGACTGCTTTGCTGCACTTTGCATTTAAACGCAAACACACATGTTAAAATGGCAACCTATAATTTAATGGTGCTTTAAATAAACATTAACGTAACTTGACAATGACCATGATCCGTTCAGATTCATAACTTTGGTTCGAAGATTAGATTTACTACGTCTAGTGGGGGTTTCCATCAAGGAGCAAATCACCCAATGCAAATCTTGTACGCATTTGATGGAAATCCTTGTTTATATCAGAAATATCGTTATTTTCAAAAAGTGAATTGTCCCTGGATTTTCGTAACGAATCATTTATGAATACTGTCTAGTTAAAGAAATGGAAGGAAACCCAATTGAGATCCCTGTGGTGCAGCAAAATACGAAAGTATCATTACGTCAGCTAACGATGTCTTTGCTGAAACAGTTTATCTCAGTTTATCTGGAAATCTCCACGAATCCTACATGCACGGAAAATCTGCACAGTCTTAAATACGCAATTCCTTCAGGCTGCACGCTGAACAAAACCCAATGGAGCATCGAATCTGCTTGGGTGGCAAGACGATTTTTACGAAAAAAAAAGCTGCTTCTAGCCAACATAGTAACCAGATTTGTGCACAGGTTTGCATGTCTTTATTTCTTGACCAGCTTTTCAACCGAGCTTTTTAGGCAGTCATGAATTTCAACTTTCAATTTACAAACTTAGTGAAGTATTTTCATCAGACCAACATTATTCGTCAAAATGTTGCTTCTTAAAATACTACAAGAGAAATTCACCAAATGACTGAGGTCACATCTCTGGTTAGTAGGGTATCGACTGCCAGTTCTGTAAGAAAAACTAAAACGAAGCCCTAATTGGTTTTTTCTTTGTCTTACCATTTGACAACACCGAAGCTCTTTAAGCGAATCTTCCAGCAAACTTTATCGCAGTGTATCACTGCAATACCAGCCTTACATTTAAATGCATGTAATTCAGGACACTAACTGCCTAGCAAGCCGAAGAATCTGCACAAGCAGCAAACAGTGGGATTAACAAAAAGGCACCCTTACAGGTTAAAGCAAGAATTTCTCTAATCAATAATTCAATTGCCTGTTTTATCCTTTTTTAAGGGCAAAACAGGATTTATCAAAATCTTTTATGCCCGTATAATGATGGTAAAAGATCACACACAATAATGCACAAAAAGCGATCCTAATAACCGATTAAATACAAATAGAGAACAAAATGTTTTCACATCCATGGCGATAGCAGGAGCCAGCAAATACAATTCAATTAAAAGACAGCATCAAATCAATGGAGGACAGCTCGAACTTCAAAGCAGAAAAATCTTCCAAATGACCATTCGAATTTGTGCTTTTCATCTCGATTTTTCCGTCTGTTATTCCCAAGAAAGGCATTTTCAATGTAAACTTTATTCACAGAATTCGCATTGGCTGTGCAGACTTACAAACTATTCTTTGATTGCAAGTTGTCATATGATTGGTATGATGCAATCAGAAAATGCTGCTCTTCCTGAAATGCAAAAAACGAAGAGCCAGGGGGAGGGGGGGAGGGGGGAGGAAGCTGTTGAAACCAAAAGCCAGAGCGTAATTCAAATGATGCAGATTAGATTTAAGCATACATACATCTACTAACAATTCATCGACGAAATTCTGATTTATTTCCAGTCATACTTGTTATGCATAAACAAGGCCATGAATTTATCCGACTACTCATCTTGTATTCCTTAAAGACTTTTATTCTAGAACTTTTTCTTAACAAATTTCTTAAAGTATTGTAATGTGTTTACTTTTAGCGCTGATGCAATGCTTTTATGCAGGCTTGCTGTAATTAGATATTTTTAGGATTGACTGGACTGTTGACAATAGACGCTGTGGCCACAGCAACAAAACGAGATAACGCTGCTTGATTTTACGTAATTCCTTTGAAATATCTTGTAATCGTCACGGTTGTTAAGAAAACTGTTTATCGTATCTAAGCATTCTATTTTGGACATGTAAACCTTAACTTGTATAAAAGGCGGTAGCTGAAGATGCAGAGACAGATGTGAGCGGGGAGCTCTGAGGCCGGTCAGAAGGGTATTTTCTGAGAACGTTGGCTTGAGTCCCGTTACCTTATTTACATTAGTATTTAATATTATACTTTCACATTGATAACTTCAGTATTTTATCTTCTCTATATTTTGTGTTACATTCCTGATACTACTGGGCGTGGTTGGGTGTGACAGTATGTTTAAGTATCAGCAACTGCGATGACCTGAAGAAAAGCCACAGCCAACCGTTGAAAGTGAAACTTTAACTGCTACTAAGGATCAAACGCTACCAGATTAAATATTTCAAGAACAGCTAAATGTCTCACTTTTCGCGAAACAATCATGTTGAAGCGTTTCCTTTGCTTTCCAAACATCTGTCGGTTTATTTCACTAGGCAAACTGTATTTTTTTCTAAACTGAAATTTGGCAAATTTTGGTTACTGGTCGGGCAACGTGGTGACGCTCAATTATGAAGTCAAATTTGAAAATAAATTTTGCTTTATTTTTCCCGGCTATACCTACTATGAAGCTTATTCGTTCGGTGAATCTTTACCTTATACACCTGCAAGTTCAAACAAATCAAAATAGACGCAGAGACAAAAGATAAAGTTCTAAGCCTATGGCTCTGTTTGGCTCCCTTTGTATAAAGTGCTGAATTTTGAAGTTGAAACATTGCAGTGCTAAACATTTTCTAGAGATTTTTCCAACACTCGATTACTTTGAAATCTGGGACATGACAGTTATGGCACAGGCATTTGGCTTTGAACGGGAAAATTGTGGCATACCCTCCGAGCTGAGGACCCATAACCGAAGTGAAAATTGATGAAATGTCTACATTTTGAGCATTCGTGGCGTTCGTCTTTTTTCGGGTTCCTTGTAACGAGGCTCACATACCCCCATCCACTACTGCAAGTGCTGTTTTTTTGCGAATCCAAAAAATGTACGGTTTCATATGCATGCTTTTTTGTCAACAGTTAGTTATTCTAGGGCAGCAGCTCTCAACGATAACCGAGGGTTACCCACTAAAAATAAATAGTGAACCAATCGCAACGAGACTGGTATCGGTTACCAGCATTCAATGCAGTTATATCCAGAAGGTCTTGGGTTCGTTTTGGTATTTACATCAAAGGTTGTGTATTAACAGATTCGGATGTTGTTCAAACAAGAGGCCCGGGTTCTATGTCAGGGACTATTTACTTACACAATGTCGATTCGAAGAAAAAGCACCCATGTGCAAAAAGCAGCTGTAAATGCCAAGAAGTGATCCGAGATAAGCAACAGGAGAAAGAGCTTAAGTATATCAGCCCACGCGGACACCCATTAACTAAAGACGGCCCAAATCGGTATACGGCACCTGTTTTTTGTTTTGTCACCCGGAGAGAGCTAATGAATCAGGTGCCTTGGCTTTTGATTGGATGAGGTTCCCATGGACATGTTGATGGTACTCAGCTGCAGGGCCGGATTAACCAAAAAGCCAACTAGGCCATGGCGCGCTCTCAAAACTGGAGCGCTCTCCAAATTTAACCCATAGTAGCACAGATCCCGAAAAAGAATGGCAATGAGTACCTTCTTTTAAAATTCAAAATGAAGTATAGCATGAGCCAGAATGACACAGAGGACAAGAAGAAAAATAGAATATACACAGATATGCAATTAAACCCTCCACAACTGCGGTGTAGATAGAGTTGGTCAGAGAGGGCGAAAAACCCCTGTAAAGCTATATTGCTGTTTTGTCGGAAAACTTCTGTTATTAAAGAAAATAAAGCATGGATGTTCGTTTTTGAGACAATGATCTTTAAACTGAATATAAAAATTCCTTCCGTTGTTTTGAATAAGAATGGCAATCTTTTTCGATGAGGTATGGTACTTGAAATGCCTCTTTATAAATGGGGACAGGAAAAATGTTCAAGAAGTATGATTTAAAAAACTCAATCTTGAATAAATGATAAGAGTTTATCTTCAGTTTCATTTTATTTCTAATGTGGATATGTTGTCCTGAATACTAAGAAAAAACGCTCATAAGACTACGTCACAGCCCGGCAGTGGAATAAATAAATTAAAATACGATAAATATATTAATCATGAGCATCGCTGCAAGGACGTTTTAAGAGGTTTAAATTCCAAAAAATCTTAAAAAAAGCCTGCAAAAGCAGCTATTATGGCCTTATACTCTGTTTCACTGATATTTCCGATGAAATTGATTAGGAAAAAAAGCTGTTCATCTGTGTAAAAAACAGATGTTCCTCCGCAGATCCAATATTGGCTTCGTGGTGTACGTATGCCAAAGCTGGTGTCTAGCGTTTCAAAATCTTTGTCAATGTTTCTGTCGACCAAAAAAGGTCTTGAATAACGTCCACGTTTCCAATGCTTTCTCATAAAAAGGTGTTTTTTTTGTACTTTAAACATTGTATAAACTATTTCTTATTAATACTGATCTTACTGTAGTGGGAGGGCGTGATTGCAAAAACTCTGCTCTTTCGATTCCATTTGTAAAATAAATGGCAATGTAAGAGTTTTTCTATTGTATAAAATTTTTGGCAAAGACTTTTCATAATTTTACATTGCTTGATAGATGTATTACGTTGTGAAGGGCATCCTTCTCTTCTTTTGTGAAGTTAGGGTGCCATGTCAGTTCGCATAAGATGGAATCATCCATAAAAACTTTTGCAGCTTGCAGACGTTGAGATTGTGCATTTAAACTTATGAAAAATTCTCCCCTTTTTCTTCGTCGATGGCATCGATCTTTAATGTTTCTGTGCCATTGGAAATCACAGTTGGGTCTTCTATTAATATTAATATCATGATGGGCATCGAGTGGTTGGTTATCTTTATGCTGACTATCTTATTTATCAAAAATATAACGAGATTTGTGAGAATTTTTAGATAAATCCTAAAAAGTATGTTTTTGTCGATTGGTATCAGCTTTGATATCTCTGAGTATCAGCTGGACCGGTTGGATGTTTCCAAACTATTGAAACTGCCATTACATAACAAATGACTTAGCTATCAAGTATTGCTTTGATGTGTCCTGTAAGTCATTTCCCCGCAATTTCAAATGACATCGCATTCGTAAGGAAGGGTGGTGCGGGGTGTCATTTTGGCATCAGATGCACCAAGGGGCATTTCACGATCTGAAACTACGTACGGTTTCTGGGATATCCGTTTGAAACTGATTTTGACATCACAAATTTACATTTCCGGATTCTCGTAGATCAGAAACCGTGGCTTAGACGTGACTAGACAGGACATATAGCCTGACAATCCGACATCCAAGCTGATGTTTACTTTCCAAACGGATTCTTGTAGTAGGGAGTCCAGTCTGCCAGGTGACTTTTTTAAAATGCCTGGATGCCACGGGACTGATGACGTCATTTAAGGGTAAAAAGTCGGACAAAACCATCGCTAGCTCTTTACTGGAGTGTTATTTTTTGACGCAAATTACATACTTTGACTCGTCTCGTTGCAAGCTTTTAATTGATGTATATTTAAGCATGATTTGCCGACATCAGTATTTTCATAATGACGTCATCAAAAGCATTTCTTCCGTAGTATTTTCATCCAAATAACTAGTATTTAGATCATTTATATTAAATTTTCGCGAACCGCAATAGCCAAGGAAGTTCGAATAAGGTAGTCACTACCTGACGAGTGGGTCATTTCTTCCTCGGAAGGCATTATTGTCTGGTTTAGAGTCATGGTCCAACTCTGAACCGGACAATAAATTCTCTGCATTTGCATTTGACTGTTGAACTGAGTTGGAAGAATGTCTTCGCACTATTATAGGCTGGCAAAGATGTCTTCGCACTATAGGTCTTCAGCGGTGGGTATGAAGGTGCATGACTTTCTTCATGGTTAAATTCATCTTCTCGGTCATCTTCATATCCTTGTGCTGTAAAGGAAGCTTTCTTTTCACACCTTGGATGTCTTTTTGACTTCTTTTGAGATGGGGAAGCTGCTTTCTTGTGGACCATTTAGACTTTAAACGATCAAGTATGTCGTCCGAATTTCAACTGCAGGCTTTTGGGACATGTCTTGTAGTAATTGCATCTAAACACTGTAACCAAAATAACCTTGTTAAGTTGACACAATTTAATTCTTCTCTGATTGAATCATTGTGGATCTGTGGAACTGCTGCAGATGACTTTGTTTTCAAATTTGATAAATACGAATCCTTGTCTCTAAGCGGCTTTAATATAGTGTTCCACTATGTTCTACAGAATGTCTTTGCGTCTGCGATAACTCTTTCTGAGAGTCTCAGCCCATAATTCCATGGATCTGTGGGAGAACATGGCAAATTTTGGAACCAAAAGTTTCAGCGATGCCTCAAATCTCGACGATTTGCTTGTTGTTTATGCACATAAATCACTCATTTGTGGGTTTCACTTCTGCATTGCATGAACAAGGAGCACAAATACATCAGTATCCTTCGCAACAACAACTACTTTTGCATCTGTCGAGTTAGCATGCAAAATCATTCTGTTTTCAGCCTTTTTGTGGTTACATCTTGGAAGGACTTCTATTTGCTTTTTGAAGTCTCCCATGCTTCTTCTCCGTAAGTTATGAGCAATGGAATTGCCTGGAGCCTGTGACACCCAGCGTGACCTTCGAAATATTTTGGGATTAAGTTTTATTAGATTCTCTTTGTTTGCATCATTGTAAAAAACCCTTTTTACCTTGGAGTATCTTTTGCTCTAAATTTTTATGCACTTGCCTTGATGACTCACTTCTACTTTGTCGAGCGCACAAAAATCCAAGAAAACGAAAGCAGTCTCAATAATGAACGAAGACCATCAAGGTTTCGAGACTGGCAAGGCTGTCTTTATCGAAAAGGCATTTGCACATCTCATCAAAACCATAGCTCTAGTCTTGCAACCCCTGAAGGTGTACTGTGACAAGGAAATGAAGCTGTTCTTATTAATTTCGTGTGTAAGGAGTCAAATTCATATGTAAATCCACCACCAGAAAATGCCAGATGGAGTATTGATGAGATGGTCATATTTCGCAGGATACGATAGTCGATACGTAAGAAAGTCATGTACCTTCAGCGAGGGCATATTGGATAGCCTATAGCTCCAAGACATTCTTCCGACTTAGTGCAACAGTCAATTGCAGATGCAAAGAACTTATTGTCCGGTTCAAAGTGGGAGCAAGACTTTGCAACTACGGAGGAAGAAGTGACTGACTCGTCAGATAGCACTACCTTATTCGAACTTCCTTGGCTTTTCCTGTTCGCACAAATTTAATTTAAATGATCTAAATACTGATTATTTGGTTGAAAAAATTATGGAGGAAATGTTTTGCTGACTTCCAGCCTCATATTAATACAAATTTATGCCAATCTATCATTTAATGACAATAAGATCTTTGATGACGTCATGCAAAATTTTGGATGACGTCATAATGAAAAAGCTGATGGCGGCAAATCATGTTTAAATATACATCAATTGAAAGCTTGCAACGAGACGAGTCGAAGTATGTAATTTGCGTCAAAAAATAACACTCCAGTGAAGAGCTAGCGATGATTTTGTCTGATTTTCAACCCTTAAATGACGTCATCAGTCACGTGACACCAATGCACTTTCAAAAAAATCACCTACCAGATTATGAAAGACTGGATCCCTGCTACAAGAATCTGTTGAGAAAGCAAACATTAGCTTGAATGTCAGATTGTCAGGCTATTTTATGTCCTGTCTAGACAAACCTGGAGAATAATTACGGTATTTGTTGCAATGTTCTTGCACTTTGTTTGTTTGATAATGAACAAGTTCTTTTATTTTTGCTCTTTTCAAAGCAAAGCATTAGTTTACTACATCAACACTGCTCTAGCTGTAATTCAATAGAGATGCTACGCAGTCTATGTAGTGTAATGTTGGCTAGGTTAACCCCCTTCATAGTCCTCTAGCTGACTTTCAAATGGCATGATGGACAGTATGTTAAGTGTTTAAATATCAAATAGATTGGCACTGAGCAGCGCATGATCCCATCTCAGATTATTGCAGGTTGAAATGGAGTTTGCATCCTTATTAGGGGAAATCGCTTTCTTGTGGGAGGTTTTGGTGCATTTGTACTGTAGGTGATACATTGAAAGATGACAAGGAACAAGTAGGAAAAAACAGGACAGAAAAAACAGGACAGAACTCACCGAGAATGACGTCTTTGTCATTAATTATGACTGTATGGCAACTCGATATTCGACCTCTTATTCGTCGTAACTTGCAAATATAAAAGCACCTTTTCCTACAAAACAATAATTTAAAAAATGATATCGAACAAAAAAACCATTTCGTTTTCTCGTAAACAGAAAAAATGCTAAGAAAAACTGGCCGACGATGCTAAGCTTAAAACTTCGAAAATGGAAGGACAGAAAGTTTTGGAAAGACAGTGACGTATAGGGGAATATGTTTTTCGAAGAAAGCTGATGTTTCGGGATTTGTCTGTAACAAGGTCTTAGAGAGAATTAGAGTTGAAACTTGCGTCATACTAAGCGATTGTAGTTCATTGCAAAAGAAATTACGAAGATCGGAAACCAGTTTATTCTGTAGCGGGGGAGTCTAGCAGAAAAATGCTTGAGGAAATTTTGAACGGCCACTTATTCGACGATAGTTTCTTGTCAGAAACTTGTCCACTTTCTTCGTTGAATGGTTTCAAATGCACCCTTTAAGGGCCATCCCCACAAGGAAAGTTCGATAAAACTGAATAACATGGAGATAGCTTTGTCTCTGGCTTGAAACAAACAATTCAGCTTCCACCTTTTCTGCAACCTAAGCTAGCAATAATTCCGAGTACAGTCTCTTGTCAAAAAGTAAAAACGGTGGCTTCCTTACGCTTTAGCAAATCAATTTTCATTGAAAAACCAAAATTGATTTAGGAGATAACACGAACAAGCTAACTGTTCAAAAAAGCTTTGGACCTAAACGTTTTATCATTGGCTTGGCAACCTTGTAAAGTTCTTTACGTTCGTTGTAATTCTTCATTTTATTAAAAGTTTTGGATTCATCGCATATCCATTGAAATCGTCCTTAATGTTCTGTTTTTATCGCGACAACCCCCTGTTTTCGCAAAATTAGGCAATTTTTACTATTTGGCGAATTTGTTGGCTTTTCTGGCGGTTTCCCCAATTGCCCTCCCTGATAGCATGCGTCCCTACCTTAGCATATTCGCAAAGCTACTTGCAACAAACCAATCATGGCCTGGTGCAAGTCTTTTAAATGACTAATAAATATGTGGCCAGCTCCAGACCAGAATTTCTTATATGTAATTAAGGCATTTTCTTTCCACAGTTGCTCTACGCACTTTTGTAGACAATTGTCGTTTCTCATTGAGTTCAGCTGTTACGATAACAAAAGGGCATTTTGCGACCAAAAATATTGCTAAACAGTTTTCCCCAGAATATTAGTTCAGTATGTATGGTAAAATATCAAAGTATCAAAATCTGGAAAATATTTAAAATAACTGACACTGAAAAGGCTGGCATGATTAGAAGGAGTTTCCTGCAACGTCCATTGCAAGGCGGGGAGGGAGGCACAACAACACTATTCGCAGCACAAAATTGGGTAGAGAGAATTGGGCAGAGAGCACTGCATTTATGATCGTGGACCAAGCAAAAGCTAGCTTAAGTGCTTACTCAGATTGCTGAATGACAACTAACGAGATGCATGTAAAGAAAATACGTCGGATTAAGTCTTAAATTCAGTCGATTCAAAGTCTGCTTTCTCAGCTGAGCAGATCCTTAGACTTCGAGAAACGCCCTGAAAGACACCGTTTGACAGGCGTTCTTTAAGCCCTGATTTAAATAAACTCAAAAACTGTTGAAAAAAAAGCAATTTAGTACATAATTGATTCACGGTTAAGACGAAAATTATCCTTTAAGTACCCATAACCAAATTCAACTTTGAAATTAGAAAGATGTGAAACCTTATTGACAGAAAGGAAACATGGTGGCACTTTAATGAGATATTTGGTTAAAACTGTCACAGCATACCTTGTGTATCTCCTGAAACTGAGACAACAACAATAACAGTGACAATGATGAAATGCACAAATGGCCAAAAACTAGCAAATGCAGACTGGGCCATATCCAGGTACCAATAGAGAAAATCGACTGATGAAAGATTAACAACAACTGTGAAGAGTATGTGTATCCTTAATAGAGAGTGCGGGAAAATAACCGTTCTTTAAAGACTCATTGCTAACAATGGGCCTTTGCGAGCGTGGCGACGATCCAAACAATGGCAGTAAATTGATTTCAGACTCTCTAAAAATGCATTTTGGGATGCTTGCGTAGCGCAATGGCTCATTGTTAGCAATGAGTCTTTAAATGCCTCCTATGAAATTCTTTAAATGCCTCGACTTTTAAACACTGTGGGCTGCAAACTACTGGCTTAGCGGGGGGTTGTAGCGCCCACGAAAACGCATGCGTTCAGGAATGGAATATATTCAACGGGAGCGTATGTGTTCTGGAGTAGGAGTAGGTTCCACGAAAACCTGCACGTTCAGGAGGAGGAGTAGGTTCCACGAAAACGTGCGCGTTCAGGAGGAGGAGTAGGTTCCACGAAAACGCGCACGTTCAGGATCAGGGGAATATTCCATGCGAGCGTTTGCGTCCAGTATGAGGAGTAGGGTTCTACGGAAAATGTACGAATAAATTTACGATAGACAGCTCACATTGCATGAATAACAATTCTTTGGCAAATCATAAACATGCAGAGAAGGTTCTCCAACTATCAGCTAAAAGTGTGCATTATCTCTAAACATTCCGCTCGTGTCTTTTCTGCTTGGGTTGGGAAGAGGGGGTGCTCGCTGTTTTTATAAAAACAACTTTTAGAAGAAACATCAGGCTGACATTTGCCCAAAAAATGAAACAATAGCAACATAAAAACAGAAAGCGATAAGCATTCGATTACTTATCAAGCACAGGGTTTGTCCGGACATTACTTTACACAGGAAATTCCATCAAAAAAAGAAACAAAACAAGAAGCGCGTGGGGCTGAAATTACGCGAGGCTTAAAAAGAAAGACCTGGCTGGAACAAGAGTGAAATATTCTTTAAAAAATGGGGAGTACGGTCAGTAATGGGGAGTACGGTCAGTAAAATGGTCAGTAGAGTTTTGCACCTGAGAAGGAAGGTCAGTAGGCCATCCAGGACCAGAAATATTTCTCTTTTTAAACAAGAGACTAGTCTTCTATCTTTTGATAAGAACAAAGCCTGGACACTCTGACTGATGTAAAAAAAAATTCCACCTAATATCTGCACAGCGTTCCCTAAATGGGAAATCATTCCACTCGGATTTTTGCATAAAAACACAGCAACCTGGGCATTGGAGAATCTTTGGGGCAATATGCTTCGACACATCCGAACTTAAAACCATGTTTACAAAATTTGGAAATATTCACCATCTGCCAAAGCCGCACTCTGGATTCTAAGATCCGAAATCACATCCGAAAGCTGTGACATATTTCCAGGCCACACCTACGTGAGCTCTATGGTTAAACTTTGCGGTAGAAATGATTTGTTGAATTTTCGATGCAGCCAACAACAAAAAGACTAACTCTTTCCCAAAATGAAGCTTGTGTCTGTGTGCTGTGATTTGGTGTTCCTTCGGCAATTACGGTATCATTTGTATCGAAATGTAACGAACGGGAATGGTGCCAAAGAGTTCCTTTGCAAGGATTCCCACGATGCGTAGGGATAAGGATAAACTAGAGAAAATAAACGAGAGAGCGTCATGACCACCTAACTCTGGCTGTTCATCCTCCTATTAAGATCTTATTGCCAACTCCAAGGAAACTCCCATCCATATTCTATCAATTAGAATCGCAGCACTTGAAATATATAAAATTTTCAACAATCTAGATCCTGTCTTTATGAAGGATTTTTTCATCAAACAACCTACGTGTACAACATCCCCTTTTGATACCAAAGGGTAGAACTACAAATCATGGAATCAGATCGCCCAGTTTTCTAGGGTCGCAAATCCGGAACCAATTACAAAATTCAATTGGAACAGCCCGAAAGAGAAAAAAAATAAAATATTTGATTAAAGGTAATGTGTCCATATAAAAGGACTGCGTATACCCAACTTGTCACGCCACCCATCAGAATAACAGTTTGCGATTGGTTAGTATTCTTGCGATGCAAAACTGCTCACATGCAAAGCTAACCTCGCAGCAGGATAGATAAACAGAATGACCGTAATGACTGGGGCGATGACATGAAAAATCACATGTTTCTAAAAACCCCCGCAGAGTCGCTTGTTATAGCTGGACACATTACCTTTAACGACCCTTGGCTCCATTAAAATGAATGCACGTGTTCTTTTTGCAGTAAATTAACTGCCTCGTGCAATCTTTGAAATTGTTTCATGTTAGTCTGAATGTGCTTTTCCACTATTGTATGTATCAACTAACAATAAATATATCATATACAAACATATACATACCTCGCGAGACTTGCACGGCAATAAATTCAAGATAGACCATTACTTATACAAATAAACAGGAAGGCCCCAGTTTGCTTTTAAAGAAAAGCTCATACGGTAATTGCCCAAAAATGTGGGGGCTAACGCTAAAGCATAACTTTTCCGTTAAAATTAACTTTTAGAGCCATTGTACCCACCTAACATAAAAAAGATCTTTTCAAGCAATTTGCGCTTCTTATAACAAACGTAACGACTAAATAACTAGAAAACTAAGATTGTGTGTCTAGATACATTTTCTTGTCATGATCAAATACAATTGGCATTTTGCTCCCGTATCAGTGTTAAACTACAGCAACAGTTTTCTTTGAAGGCATTGAGTCATGATAAAATGGATTGGGTATACCCAAAGTGCCAAAATCCGCTGAGTCACGATTTTCATGACTGCGATGTTATTGGCTGACCTTAAACTGGTCACATGAACTCACCTCGTACTGATTAACAAAACAGTTTCCATCAATAGCAAGTTGTCAACAACATATCACGTGAAACAGCAACGATCACGCCGAAACCAAATGACCCTTCTATAGAGAAGGCCTATTTACCATGACTCAATGCCTTTAACGGCTTCTAGGATGTCTTACAATCAGTGCCAAAAGAGGTAGCTTTCCACCGTTATTACCATTCTACCAGTTTCCGACACGGTGTTTAGACAGCTGAGCCGACACAACTTTCACGAAGCATCAATACTCTCTGTACAATACCATGCGGCTCTAAAGTTTGTCTCACAAGTGCAACATAAAGTAACAAGGTAAAAGATCAGTAAGAGCGAAGGTCTCTTGAAAAATGCATGCTCAAGAGCTCTTGCTTGAAAAGATTAGAAACCAACATTACGTATATACATAGCTCGTATATAGATAGCTCGTATAAAGATACTAGCTACCTAACGCAAACAAACGATGCAACAAAGGTACATGGACTACAGGTGGTGCTATTCTTCTTTGAACAACGAGCAATGGCAGATGAGTAATCTTAAGCAAAATAAGTGTACCAGACTGATTACGGAAAATAGGCCAATCAAACCTCTATTCTTACATACCTCAAAAAACTCTCCCTTCGAGAAACCAAATAAATTTGGAACAGGATTTTAGGACAAAGTTGTTGCCCTGAAAATCCGTTGCCACAACAGCAGCTTTCAGTCCATAAATAATTCATAAACTGGGCGGGGTGGATGCAAATTAAGGTGTAGAATGGCTTCGAATGACATGAAAAACAAATAGAAGTATTTCTCGTCAGACCCAACAGGGGTCGAATACCCCCATAAAGAAAGGTCTCGAATCTTCGATCAACCGGTATCAATTTTTAACTTGCACCAACCAAAAATTATCTCAGGCATTTTAGACCAGGGTGCTTTCAATGAAGCAAGACTTGAAGATCTTTGGTGTGGAGCAACATTTTTACAGCGTGTTCATTAAAAATATATTTACTTATTGTCTTAAACATAAAGAAGAATTAAAGAATTATAAAGAGAATGTCTGTGAGTGTTGCCTAGGACACTAAGATAAACCTGAAAGGTTATCGAGCCCAGTGCCCTTGAGTTATGTCATTTTCGGTGGTGTTCGCGCGAGTTACGCATTTGCCGGCGTGTGGCTACACTGACCGGTGAAATGGCACAGCGGCGTGGCGCAAAGCTCTTTCCGTGATTGTTTGTGTGTATTTCTACATCATCACCATTGTACTTATAAATTGCCCGAGAGCAAATGGGGGTTGGGTCGGCGTAATAATTGCATATGAACCTTGGCGTAAACCTGGCCTATCCATGTCGTACTTTTGGTGTGAGGTTTACATGGAATGCACCCTGAATGTCCGATACAACTGATATTCAGCCGAGACTTGGGAGACTCTTCTTATTGCGAACGTTATGCTCGTGGATCTTCGCGGTTACAAATGCTCGGAATTGCCAAAATTATCATAGATTGATAAACTTTAAGCCCGTATCAAATTGCGGCTATTCGGACATGAATTTTTAACTGAATTCGAACGAACGATCTTGTTGATTGGCCTAAACTCAAGAAAAAAATTAAACGACATCAACAAGTGAGTTCTTGTTGTGGCTGCTAGAAAAATAGAAAACAAACAGCTCATGTTGTCAAATATGCTGACTTGAGCAGCTGATGGAAAGCCTATTTCTTGAGTCCTCGCCATTTCATGAAAACTCCCGTTTTATCTTTCAATCGAATTTCTATACTTTTTATGAAGCAAGTAAATTTTTGTTCAGTAGGAAAGCTTTGGAATCTTCATTGCAATTGACCGCCTGTAGGCGTTCTTTATAACTTCTTATACAAAGTTCGTTTCAGTAGCAATCTTCTTACCGATTTCTGTAGGCCTACAGCTTTCAGAGTGGGAAAGATATAGGGGGTGGGGGTGGGCTACATCTATAACTGTATCACTTGGGTTGCGAGCAGAATCTTAGCAGAAAGGTACTATATACCGCTTCAGTTGGGCCTCAGTTTTTCGAAAGGGAAAACAACAATTTGGCGCTTTCCTGCTAACCTTAGAGTTAGAAAAGTAAGCCCCAAAGACATTTGGTTCTAGCATTGCAGGCCTTATCACAATTATGGAGAGGCAAATTGCTTAACTTCGTCGCAATTTGATAAAAAGCCTTATATTGATAAAAAGAAAAAATGGAAAACGTAACAGCAAAACCCTTTTGAAAAAAACATTAAATGGAAATTTGAAGCACTGATCAAAAATAGATAAACACTATCTCTTACAAACTAAAGAATTACCTAACTGACTCGTTTTAGCAATGACCAGTTATGAAGAATAAAAACACTTTTGATAGGAACAAACACGGGAAAGAAGAATTTCGAAATATATATGGATTGAAAGTGTGTTCAGAGGCTTCTTGAATTTCGTGAACTCAAACGCTGTCGTTAAAGAGCAATAGACAAGTAACTTTGTAAGCTTCGTAAAAGGGAGTTTGGTACAGCCACAAGCGATTGAAGACATCTGGGCATAAAAGGACACACAAACATGTTCCTCAACATGAAGAACCTCGACATCTGCCCAAAACAGTTTAATTGACTGTCACAATCAAATAATGTTTTCTGCAGGTGAAGCATTCTGATTACAACCAGTGAAGCCTTGATCGCAACAAATGTTTATTTGTGCACTCACATTATAAGCAAAATGCCAAGGGGGTTGGGAATGAATTAAATTAATTACCTTTTTCATATTGACGAGAAAAATTTGACACCGTAAAAGGTCTAAGCGAACAACGAATGACCAAGTTAGCCAAACACAAACAAAAACCTCGTGCTTTCTTTGGCATTGTCTGGTTGATTGTGACAGTCAACAACGATGACATGAATGCATCCAACGGACTTGTAAATATCTTACCCCGTACTAGAGGCTTTCAGCAGCATGGTACCTTATTTTTTACCCCCAGCTGCTTCTAGAAATCCCTGTTGTGGTCAGATTAACGCGAATCACGCATGCCACGAGAAAATGCCTAATTATTATTCTTTATACCTACTTGTATTTCATAAACAAAGCATTCAACCTTGGAACGTTGTTGACAAAAAGAGAATTGAATTTTAAAGATAGCGGCTGATGCGCTAAATGGCGGTTAATGTAATTCAGATGCTAGCAAAGTTGCAGTTTGTCATCATGAGTAAATGAGCCCGCATAAAAGGTGTTCGTTTATCGACATTCCACGCGATTCATGCCCATCCTTGTCCCACTATCAATTTCCAATATTTTCAAAATACAGATTCCTTGAAACCAAAACGTTTATCGACGCCACACAACCATGCTCGACCAGCTTCATAATGCAATTTATGGGGAAGTGTTGTGAAAAATTATGAAATTATCATTCTTTGTCGTTGTCAAGGTATTTTGCGGTAATCAATAGGCCAAAACAGATCAGAATGGTAGGTTGAATCGACAAGATACTAAGGCTGATCATCGCATAATAAAAATGGCATTAACGTGATCAGTCTTTATCGTAAAACAATTCGACACTTACTTTTTTTAAACTGTGAAGTCTTCGACTAACGACGTTTCCCTTTTAAAGTTCAGAAGCTGATTCGGCCCGAGCTCCGCTTTCTGAGTGGACAGTAAGAAAGAAATATCGTATTTCAGGCTGTTGGAAGCGGGCACATGACTTTAGGAGCAGAGGCATCACCCTAGCATGTACACCAAAACATTTATCGCGTTGAGTCAATTATTCCAGCTGACCGCAAAATTGATACAAGTGACCCCAGTATGAGGATTTAGAATGCGATGCACATGAAAAGTCTGCAAGCAACAAAGACGCACGAATCCACGGAGAGAGTGAAACCATGAGCTGTCAGTTTGGTCCTTGTCAGCACCAACTACTCAGTATCTGAATTTATTGTGGATAAATTGGGTTATGCAGGCGTCGAAATAGTGTGTTCAAAATCATCTCCTTTGTTTGTGACGTGCAGACAAACAACCAAAGCAGTCCCTTGCCGTCAAATTTCTCTTTGTTATCACATTCGGGTGTATAATGCGCCTTAAAATACAATCAATCTAATCTAGTTCACAGGCCATTTTATCTGGCGGCTACAATAAACAGCAGAAAATTGTGGTCGTGATTGGAAATTTTAAGCCGAATACAGTGTATAAATTGACACCTTCGTCCTTGGCCAGAAATCTCCGCAACCGAGTTCGTTGAAAACAGACGGGGGTTTCATCAGTTCAGAAAAATCACTTGACCAAAAGGTGGAGAATAGCTACTTAAAAAATGTCTTTAATGATCGGAAACGACTGTGCATTCAGATTGCAAAGGATTTTACTAGATTTATATTAAACATATTCATTCTGAATCTGGCTATGAAATTCACTCTATGTTCGAAGGATTGGCATTATATTGGACGTTTTTCAAAATTGCATCTTCAGAGAGCCCCAACGTAATACTTCCGTAAACAGGGCTTCCAAACGTCTTTTAAATTTCTTGACAACAGCTGAAAAGGATTGGATTCTAACACCTCTTTTCAAACTTTGAAGTCTGTTAAACTGTGCCAAGCTTCCAGTTTTAGAAATAGCTTCTGCTACAGAAATAGCTTTTAAGATCAGGCACCGCGGAGCGTTGAGAAAAATGGGGGTTTAAAAAAGTGGGGGGGAGCTAAAACCGTATAAAAAGAGGCTTTACTGGTAGTTTAATACTTAATATTTGGCATTTCATGCAAAAAGTGAGGGGCTAAAGCCCCCTCAGCCCTCAACCTGCTCCGCCGCGGTGCCTGAAGATACGCACATGTTTATGCAGAACCTAGCTTAAGGCCTATTGATCAAATTGTGGTAGTAAAAGTTCCCTAACAGTTTCTTATCTAACTCTACATCTAGTTCCATGAAAATCGTTGAGACGCAAGAAAAACATCAAAATTCTGATCCACTGTAGTCGTCATTTGAATCTTTGTATGGGGTAAAATTCGTAATTTAGGCTAATTAAAACCAACTAACTAAACTAACAGCATAACAAGATGAAATGATAAACAACACAACAAGATAAACGGACAAATATGCAATATTATGATTGATCAACGAATCTGACGTTACTAATGTACTGCCTGCACACGTCGCAGGTGCATTTGAATTCAGTGAAGGTTTTAATTTTCTTTTGAAAATTATGAGAGTTTGAGTATATATAATTTCATTTGGGATGTTGTTCCAAATTTCTCTTTTTTTATCTATATAAGACAATGTCATATCCATACATTTTATAATTTTGCTCAAAACTTTTGCACATGTTAAATAATAAATACATTCAGTGGGAGACAATATTTTTTCAATGAAGGGTGGATTAAAACGATTTAATGTTTTGAGCATTGCAATGGCTAGATATTGCAGTATTTTATAATGTGAGATAGTTCTTTCATTTTTTACCAATAGTTGTTCAAATATTGATTGGTAATCATTATAGCCTCTGCTATTCTAATGGCTTTCTCGTGTTTCTTCTCTAAGGGCACAATAATTGAGGGATGATATGACAAATTTTTTCATCATTAGTACTCGTTTGAATTCACTCATGTAAGAGGCAATTTTTGCAAGAGCGTTTAACATTTCACTTGCTTCTTTGCAAAGGTCCTTTATATTTTCATCAAACTTTAATTGTTGATTCAGTGTTATGTCAACTTATTTTGTGCTTTACCTTTCTTTAAAAACGGTTCCATTGATTTTACCTCGGCTAGTTGTGATTTGGATCAGCTAACTAGGAAGGTTATGAGTTTGCATTTGTCTCCATTCAGTACCATCAAATTGTTACTTTACCCATTAGGCGAGAACTGTGGGTTCAGACGCTAAATGTGGCTTTAATTCATCTAAATTACTGTTTGAAAGCCATTTATCATAACAAAAGTATGAAAACGGTGCTAAAAATGGCGGCTCACAGAAGCCAAAGGCCTAGGCCGATAGGTTTTTAAAACAGAAGTTCAGCACAAAGAGGTTTTTGTAACGAACGTTTGCGCCACGAAATTTTTTGCGTAATTCCGATGGCTTTCGAATGAAAATAGATTTGAAAGATTACCTTACTGTTTAGCAGGTGAAAGTCAGGGAAACATTGGACCGGTGCTTCAGAAAATTTCTGAAAAATATTTTCAAAGGATTCATAAAAAATTGCCTCAAAGTACAAACAATACTTAATAAGTATAAGATAATTTAATTAAACTTGAAACTTAATACGTGCACCTTTGCTCTGACTTTAAATGTATTACCGAGAAGATCATTTTGGCTGAGATATCAGGTTTTAGGTTATCAAAAGTGATATCGGGTGAACAATTTCTAAAGCTGTCATTTAGTGATCAAAATAGTTTTTTTGCTAAATAACATAGCTGCTTTGGATGTAGATGATTCTTTTCAATAATTTTAAAAGCATAATAAACCTTGAATGTTTCGCTTTAATTTTTTTATTGTCATGTGCTTAGATAATGAGTAAATCAGAATTTAAGATAAACAAGTCATTAACATCAAATGTAGAGCAACTCACCTTGTGTAAGTATTGAAACTTTAAAATTAAAGTGCACTGCTAACGTCACTTTCTCAGTTATAATTTTTTTCGTGAAAAAGAAGCTTCAAGCAGTTTGCTTCGAATTTCAACTATTTTTCGTTTACTTTTCTTCAATAAAGTGACACTTCGTGGTCATCTTTCATGAATACTCAGAGAATCTGTTGTTTTGAATCAATGCTTCAAAGTTTTGCTGGACTTTTCCCCTCAAAACAGCAAACCAACCATTAACTTTCTTTAAACCGAAAGGCGAAGGAATGACAAATGCAATTTCCCGCCATAACCTATCGTTTCAAAGCCCCTTCACCTCATAATTCTGATTTTGAAATTGGTCGGCTTAGGCCTTTGGCTTCTGTTAGCCGCCATTTTGACCTACCGTTTCCATACTTTTGTGACCCCAGTGTATGCTACCTTTTTTAAGAAAACAGGCGATGTCATTGATAAATATATTAAAAAGCAATGGACCTAAAGTTGATTCTTGTTGAGCACCTTTATTTATTTTTATCCAATCGCTATAAATAGAATTAATGTTCACTTTTTGCATATTATTTGCAAAATTGAACTGAATACATAATTTGAATTGCATTATTACTAAAACCATAAGAATTCAACTAAGTCAAGCACAGTGAGGTAGACAATCAAACGCTGTGAAGAGATCCGTAAGGATAGCTCCCAGAAGGAGTCTATTATCTAGCCATGATTTTATTTATGTTTGAGGTCTTCAGTTAGGCATAGCAAGACATGTTGTCTGCTAAAGCTTTTTCTAAATCCACAAAACAGTTGAAAAAGCATAGGCCCAAAATGAGATTTATCATTAGTAATGGATTCATTAAGCTTTATCTAGTGAACAATTAAATTCTGAATTTTCCTGTTTTCGTTCCGGGTGCCAACTCAGTCCTCCTGTCGGAAGATCAAGCCCCTCCATTTGAGCATTTTTGGCGCCACCACTGACCTGACCAAAGCCCAATGCAGAATCAATTTGAATGTTGGTTGTCTTTTTGAATTGCTTAAACGTTAATTGTGGTTTTAATGTTTTTAATCTCTTTCAAGTTTACGGCCTGGAAGTAAAGAATTCCATTGAACAGCAACTAAAATCTGCAGCCGAGTCATTGTACAGTGTCTTTAATACAATAAAATGAAACATATTCCAGAATTGGTTTTCAAATTCTATTACAGTAGTCAACTACAAAAGTGGTTCTAGGGACTGCAGGGGCCCCTTTCGAACTTTATTTTTTCTTAGGGTGCAGGACCCCTTCTGGATACAAAAGGGCGGGGCCTGGAACCATGCCTCCTGGACCTCTTCAAAACCGCCACTAGTCAATTAGTAATTGAAAACAATATAAAATGATGCTTAATTAACAAAATTAAAACATTTTCTCAACCTTGACTCGACCAACAATCCCTTCTACATGGTCTTTTATTTTCAAAACAAATGCTGCAAGGTCTTTTTCCAGATATTTTGTACAGAGAATTGAACATACAGTTAACTCCTATTAACTCGAGCCTCAAAGGTATCAGTGAAAATGGTATGAGTTATCGAATTTTGAATTATCCAGGCTCTCAATAGCCCGAACTTTAGGATACTGCAGCCATTAGTTCGAGTTATCGGGAGTTTTTCATGTAAAAGAGCAACAACAATTGCAAAGTAATAAATGAATCGATTAGGAGACTGAACTAGCAGTTCGTGGAACGTTCTTCACTAAAGTACACACTTAAGTGCTTTCCTCAATGGAAATTGAGCACCCCCTACGCCCCTCCCCCCCCCCACTTCATGAAGTCGTTCTTCGTACAATCAAAGGAGCGAATGTTAGTTTGTTTATATCATTCTGTGTGCGGAAACCAAGCAATCTTGCAAAATCTTCGATGCATTTCGCTCGTCGATTGCTTCAGGCATAGTCTATGCTTTAGGGAACACAATATCTTCCAAGACATCATTATTGACGTCATTATGATCATTCCAGCATTACCACTGGATTTCCCATCTTAAGGCCCTGTATAAACTCTTTTTTCGTCAAAAGAGGCACAGTGCTAAAGGGGAATTTTTTCAGCAGAAAGGACTTTTCAGCTGTCTTACCATATGGAAAAGACTCTGGTGCACAAACAGCAAGTCTTTCCACTTGTTCCTCGAGCTCTTTGAAAGAAACATCATCTTCTCTCAGGGCTGCATCTTGCTGTTCCTTAGAAATTCCAGCTTTCGTGAAGCATTTGACGACAGTAGAGGTTTTCGCTTGGGATAAAGCATTCTGCTTTTTTGATAGCTTGAATCAATTTGACAACCGACATCGATATCATCCCATTCGCCATCGGTTAGGGTTTTGAGGCGGTGTTTAGTGGAAGAAATATCAGTTTGATTGATTCTAGATTTTCGACAGTGGAGTTTAGAGGACGTTTAGAGGACAACTATCCGCAAGGAGGATAATCTTTTCTATTCTGCTGCGAAACATTGATCTATCTCACGAACCCATCTCACTATCCATCCCTCGATCAATTCTTCGTACACAAAAAGGACACTCTCCATCCAGCTTCTCTTCTGACTCCAATACCTGCATGGCAAGTGTCATACCCATTTTAAACACTGAGAAAGTTTGATTTACCAAATACCAACGTAGGCGACTGCAAAGGCGGGCCAGTGTGATGGATTTTGCTATGTGCATTAGCTTTCCAAAAGTGTTCTAACAATTTTGAACAATTTTTAAAAAGATAGTATAATATTGTTTACCGTGGATGTGCTTTTCACTATCTTTTAAGATAGGAACATACAATAAGTACTTAGCTAGCTAGCTATATCAAAGCTAATTAAAACCGGCTATATATATCACAAATACTGAATTTAATAACAGTAGCAGATTGGATAACTAATAAAATACATAAATGTACCGTAGGTTCCCTGTCATTTTATATAGCCTGCTGGTCCTATAAATGTTTTGCAAATGCGGCATGAGAAATTTGTCTTCTTGATAAATAGTTTTGTAAATTTCTGTCGAATTTGTTTTAAATCCCTTGTATGGATTGTAACCGTATTGTCTTTGAGCAGTAGTTGTTCAAAACTAGATGAAAAATCGTTATAGGCTATTCGCGATGCTCTTTCATGAACGTTATTATAAAGTTTATTGCTTTTCCTACTGCAATACATCCATACCAAAGGACAGTAGTTGAAGCATGTCGAAACAAATGTTTCTATTAAAGGTTTTCGTTATCTTCGTTTAAATGCAAGTATATTTATCTTTTCTCCTGCTTTTTTACACATACTTTTGATATGGTCATCAAATTTTAATTGATTGTCTATTGTCTATGCTGAACAAGTTCCCTTTGTCTTCTTCTTTTTAACTATTTGCCTGTTTATATAAATGCTACATTTTTCAACATTGTTTGGTTTTTGCTAAAAATCATATTGAGCTTGCATGTCATCAACGAAAACGTTGAATAGAAAGGGACCAAGAGCAGAACCTTGGAGAACACCCTCTTATTTTATTTTCGCTAAAGTTAGAATTAATTTGACTCGCTGGAATCGCCCATGCATTATTTTTCATAAATAATGATGCATCTCTACTAAGCCAATTTAGCTTCCAAAAGTTCATGTGAGAGACAATCAAATGCTTTGTTAGGAGAGATCCATAAGGGAAGAACCCACAATTTTCTTACTATCTAAGCATTTTTTAGATCTTCAATATATATTATAAGAGCATGTTGTGTTCCATAGCTGATTATGGCGAGTAGCTGAAAGTTGGCTGTCCCCAAAATGAAAAGGCCTTTCCAGCCAAGAAGTGTTTTCACTTTGATTGACTAAAATATCAAATCCGTTAGTTGCAGCATTATAAAATTGTTTTATTGAAAATGAAATTACGGTTTATCAGTTTATACAGCTGAAACTTTATCCTTTGTCAATAATAGAAAAACTGAATACACTTGATGACAATGGGGCATCAGGTTGTTCGGTACGCGATCGTCATGAATTGTTCCTTCTTCGCCTAGCGCACATTGGCAATTTTTGTCACAGAACCAGAGTCACTTTAGCTTGAATTGTTGTTTTCCATATACGATATTGGAAAACAGTTCAGAGCTTCAGGTTTCAATTCTGGAAAGCTTAAACATTTTACTTTAATGCAAAAGAACTGCAGCTACGAAAACTTGAGGAGTTCATCTTGCAGCCGACGTACGAATTCACAGCTTCACACGCGAAGACGAGGTCATTTGAAATACAATGTAACGTCCAAATTACGTCACAGATTCGCCAACTCGAAATTGTTTTCTCCTATTTCAGTTCAATTATAAAGATGCCAACTCATTGCTTACTTTTGGACATTAACCGACGTTTATACTCTATTATATACTATTTTCAACTTTTGTGGTACCTAAAGCGAATTTATGGTATCTATCTTAAAATTTGAATTTTTTTAAGAGAAGGCTGCAGAACAGCAAGGCTTATACTGAAGACAAAACCCAATTCCTTTCCACCTTTCTCAGTGACTTCATAAACACCACAATCCTTCCCCCTCCCTAAAGTGAGAGAGACTCCTCTTTCGCATACCAGTTAACTCTTAACTTAAGGATTGCTTCAACTTTCATATCGCTTAAACTTTCACAATAACGTTTTAGGGCACCTTTGAAATGAAAAAATAATTTTAGGATATAAATTTTGAAAGACATTGAATGATTTGTAATCAAGCAAGGAAGACAGATATTTTCATGATATTTCTAAAGGATATTTTTCTTGATTCAAAAAAGTATTATATCGGTGTGCTGAAAATTCCGAAAAATAAAACGAAGGTTGAAGCGACCATCGCACGAAATGAGTGTGATGCTTGAGAAACTGGACTGTGTACTCGAGTGCCATACTTATTAACCCATTGGTAATTAAACGTTTCTAAGCGTTCATGAAATTTTCTCTGCTGCTCATTCCTAATTCATTTCAAATTACCCACAACTCACTGCAAATGCGAAATATTTTAACGATAGATCGCTCGATCACATTTTAACGTGAATTCGTTTTGTTGACAGAGTCGTAGTTTCCAACCTTTCGTCCCAATGAATTGCTCCGGACATTGTCTTGATATTCTTCAAAGGATTGGAGAGGATATGTGGTGTTTCCATTCATAGATCACGTGCTACTTATAAACGTGTTTGTGAGTTTAAGCTGCTATTAGCTTTCAGGAAAACGTGCAAAATCGACTTTATTTATGTTAGAATGATTTGACATCTAATATTATGGCCTGGGCTTGGCTGTGCTAAGTAGCTCATAGGATATCCTTTGCTAATTTCTCCCACTTAAAGTCTCAGCCACAAATCAAGTTGTTTACTAAGAATACACTCCAAACAAGCCATGTTTTATGCGAAGGAGCGTCTCTCCCAGGTACATCGAATGCGAATTAAAGATCTAGAGACACAGGAGAACTAGACGTGCCTCATAGTATCAAATCTCCGTTACTTGGTGACATTATTCAAAATCATTTACTCATATTGAATTCAACGAACTTTGTTGACGTTGGCTATATCCGAAGTCGAGAGCAACTTCTTTCAGATTTCGATTTTCGTTGAAAATGTTCTGTTTGGACCACTTGTCTTTTCAAGAGCCATCTCCCAAGCAGTTCGATAAAATGCTTTTTCGATGCTGCAAAAGCTTTTCCTTAACCTCGGTATGATGTTTCCATTGGAAATCTAAAAAAAATCGCGATCTTTATAAGCACCGATTTTAAACAACTATTTCTTAATGAATAGAAATACCAAATCTCTTACAAGTAATTTGAGCATTTCTTTTCTTTCAAAAGCTTAGCTCAATGCACAATGGAATATTCGAATAAACGTACTTTTTATCAAAAATTGGACCGCATTCTAAAGTAGTTCAGTGAAGACTTGCAGGCACCAAAGTGAAAATAATCTTGCTGTGGTTACATGACCATAAAACATTAACAAAGTTATTGGAGAAAAGTGAATCTTTTCTGTATACCTGTGGTGGAAAGTTTCGCCGATAAGGGATGCTGGCAAGCCACGGAATTCTTTAAATGCCAGTTTAATTCTCACCAAACTTCTTCATAATTGGGTACAACTTCAATTTCGAATCTATCACTTTTACTTGCTAATTGTGTAAATTTTTGCGAAAACTCCTCCATATTGTGGTGAAGCTTCAATTCTAGATTGTAAGTTTTACTTGTTCTGATTTTCATCAACACACCCTGATAAACAATAATGGCATCGCAAAATTACAACGTCTGATCCCTTTGGTGATTCTTTGTAATTTCCTAGAAAGCATCAAAACATGATATTTCCTATAGCTATGAAACATCTAACTTTCAAGATCAGAGTTCCCACCCAATCCCTCATTTACGAATAGTTTTTTCCTGTTCATATTGGATAGATGACCGACTGGCCCGGCAATGGGGTCTCTGCGAAGTCAAGCGAGGTCTCAATAAGCGGGGTGAAAATTTTCCCATATGTAGATGCTATCCCGCCTACTCTGCGGTCGGGAGTCAACGTAGTTGTCATGGCTAAGCCCAAAGTTGAAAAACGGGGAATTCTACTACACAAGAGAAGTGTTGATGAAAGTGATTGTAATGAAATTTTGAATGGAGGACTCGTTCATTTCCGACCTCAAAACATGGCTGCAAAAAACTGGTATCTGGGAGCCGGTCACGTGAAAGAAAATTTTTCTGCTGGGTGAAAGCATTGCATTAAATTGTCCAATTAACATTTTACATAATTTGCTAACTAGGAATTCTCATTAAATGGTAGTTTGATCTGTTTCAACGGCTTTTCATTTCTCTGGAATTCATACTGTATAAAATGAAAGCTGATTTAAAACTAGAATATACCAACAGCAAGAAATTTTTATTTTGATACTTTCTTAAACTTTTGAAACTTACTTACATTTTCCTCCATGAGCTAAGGTTTTTAGATTTTGCAGGTAAAAAATAGCTTTATTTTGGTAAAAATTTGCCAACTCTAAACAATTTCTGGGAACCTAGGTCCCAGCTTTCCTGTACCTTTTGCAGCTTTGCCAAGCTTGGTTCCCACCATGACCCTGGCTCCTAAAGTGATCTTCATTGTGTTTATAAGCACACTTACGTGAAAAAAGCATTGTTCTTTGAGATTGTTCTTTGAGCTAATACTTTTGTCACGTAAGTGTAGACCTGATAATAACTTGAACTTTTTCTCGGCAAGCGAGTAAAAAAATTTCTCTATAAACACAAGCTGAAAAACCGCATCGCTTCCAGTATCTTTCTAGTAGACCGGATGAAATTTCTCCATAGAACAGGCCCTTAATTTCCGATCAACAAGTTTAAGGCCCTCCAGGTCGAGCTGAAGAATGCCTGTCTCGAGACGTACGCTAATCAAGCTTAATCTAATCCAAGTTAGTCAAATTAAACCCAGTTAAACTCGAATATCCCTAAATGATCCGTGTCTAGAAGAAAATTTAAAATCTTGTTACAAGATCAGCCTCAGTCGTATGGGCAGCATTTGAAAATGAGATAATTCAAAATCAATAACAAAGTAGCATTTGGTAACTATTCTCTAATTCACGTGACACATACCAAAAACGACTTATACAGAAGGCATCCTTGATCATTTGCCTTGTGTCTCTTGCTGCCCAGTAATGAAAACAATATTTGCTAAATAAAGACCATATCAAATCCGAATATCCACTCACAGCAAGTGTTTCATTGGAATATTTGGTAATTAGAGTTGAAATCGGTATGCGTAATGCAGAGCCGAAGTAGGGCTACGATCACATGGTTCAAGAGCCATGAACGCAAGAATGAAATAGGACTATGATCACATGTTCCATGAGCAACGGACGCAAGAATGAAATAGGACTATGATCACATGTTCCATGAGCAACGGACGCAAGAATGAAATAGGACTATGATCACATGTTCCATGAGCAATGGACGCAAGAATGAAATAGGACTACGATCACATGGTTCAAGAGCCATGAACGCAAGAATGAAATAGGACTATGATCACATGTTCCATGAGCAACGGACGCAAGAATGAAATAGGACTATGATCACATGTTCCATGAGCAACAGACGCAAGAATGAAAAAGGACTATGATCACATGGTTCAAGAGCCATGAACGCAAGAATGAAATAGGACTATGATCACATGTTCCATGAGCAATGGACGCAAGAATGAAATAGGACTACGATCACATGGTTCAAGAGCCATGAACGCAAGAATGAAATAGGACTATGATCACATAGTTCCAGAGCAACGACGCAAGAAATGAAATAAGACTATTATATCACATGTTCCATGAGCAATGGACGCCAAGAATGAAATAGGACTAATGATCACATGTCCATGACAATGGACGCAAGAATGAAATAGGGACTATGATCACATGTTCCATGAGCAACGACGCAGATAATGAAATAGGACTATGATCACATGTTCCATGAGCAACGGACGCAAGAATGAAATAGGACTATGATCACATGTTCCATGAGCAATGGACGCAAGAATGAAATAGGACTATGGTCACATGTCCCATGAGCAATGGACGCAAGAATGAAATAGGACTATGATCACATGTTCCATGAGCAACGGACGCAAGAATGAAATAGGACTATGATCACATGTTCCATGAGCAACGGACGCAAGAATGAAATAGGACTATGATCACATGTTCCATGAGCAACGGACGCAAGAATGAAATAGGACTATGATCACATGTTCCATGAGCAACAGACGCAAGAATGAAAAAGGACTATGATCACATGGTTCAAGAGCCATGAACGCAAGAATGAAATAGGACTATGATCACATGTTCCATGAGCAACAGACGCAAGAATGAAATTGTAAGCCAAATAAGGAAGCAGAAATCCAGCAAACAAAGGTTTTCGTCTGAAAGAGCTTGAGGCATTTCCCTGATCACTCAAGTCTATACGAAAACGTTTAAATTTTCAGATTGCTTCTTTTCGTTAATATTCTAAAAAACGTTTAATTAAACAAGAGCGTTTTAAATTGTTAAAATGGTAAAGATAACATAAGCTTTAGATTTGATAAAATAACACACAGCAAATACTTGTATCAAATTTGCATGTATTAAAAACGTTTGAATGTGGACATCAAAATGAATACAATTAATTCAGCTGGCAACTTCGATAGTTGTAAACCAGTGAATCCATTGTCATGCTTCTTCATGTTTTTGTGCTTCAGGGTGATATCCGTGTCAGTATTTTTCATGGTTTCGCATCATCAATGACTTTGTTGAAAAGCAACATGACCACGCGATAAACGTAGAAATACACGCGGACATACACGCGGACATACACGCGGACATACACGCGGACATACTTACGGCATACCCTTTGATGGCTGCGATTTGCTCATCATAACGGCAGGATAGTTGTTGCAAAGATAAGACCCATAACCAATGTGAACAGAATCAGAGGGGTGAACCAGCCCCAGACTGGCCATAATGCCACACAGCAACTGCAAAAAAAATCAGAATGACATTTGATGGAAGCGTGGTACTCTGGGCGAGATAAGAAATTCAGTCAGTCTTTTTGAATAGATAAAAACACCTCGTAAGCGCAGAATGCGTGCATTCCATTGGGTTTGCATTGGGTTTGTCAATGGGCACTTCTAGGACAACAGGGCAATCTATATTGTATATATCGCCTGAACTATGGATCTCAACTTAGGATCTACATTTAACTGTGCTTTGTCTCGATTCGTTAGAATAACTAGTTTTAGGCTAAAAGTGAAGCAGATAGGCGACTTTGTTTGATATGAAAACAGCACACTATATTGCAAGTATTTATTCCTTATTAAAATCTGAGGGATGTGAAAATCCAATCTCAAATCCAATCTAGCTTTGTTGAGTGTGCTGATTTCAACAGCAGTGGAAATTTGGTAAAAAGGAACTCTGTTGGGCATGGCGGTGACATTCTGTGGCGGCGGCGGCAAAATCCTTAGTTAGGTCTTGTTTTGCTGGTGTTAAAACGGTAGCTGGTACTCTCAAGTATTATTGCATTTAAAATGACATAATAATATGAAGTTATAGAAGTCGAAACATAATTAGCGAAGCAGGTGCAAATGGGTCTTACTTGGCAGACGGGGTGCAAGCTCTGCTATTTACCGGCTGGATAGCTTAATTCACGAGGAGATAAACATGGGCGGGGTGCCAATTAAACATGGGCGGGGTGTCAACTAAGACGACCCGGCAATTGTTCTCACCAGGTCAAACTAGTTACGTCACAGAAATAATTTCCTTATTTCAGCAAGACGTTGAAAGCATCAAAAATCTGTTATTACTTTGCCACTTGTAAATAACTACATATGCAGCCGCGATTCTGGGTAGAATTATCCCTTTAAAGATATATGAAACTTCATGTAAATCATCTTCCATCTGACGCGAAGCGATCGTTTGAAATCAAATGGTGTAGTAGATTAAAGCACAACCATGCAGCTTAATGAAAAGATTAGTCCAGTCCATAACAGAAGCCCTGTTAGAACCAAAAGTGAGCATCGTCGTTGATATCAAGTTTGACTTCATAAACAAGTTCTTAAACACCTGCTTCCAGTAGTTGAAACAAAGCAGCTGTGTTTACGATTCTTGCATCGAAATGTCCACTTAATATTTTTAAAATCCCATATGCTGATTAATGTTATGTCCTCTGGTCGATTCTACTAATGGAGTACTCATACATCATAACTTATCCATATTTGATTTGAGCAGACCAACATGATGTATGTTTGATGGAAGACTGTCATAAGACAAAAGGCGCGGGATTAGCAGCTTCCTCGAGCTTCTTTATCGGTTGATATTCAAGGATGAATTCATCTCTATACATGAGTACATTCAATCAATATAAACTACAGAATTATTATCCCAAAAAAAACTTTTGCATCTTTTCATTCAAATTCATTAATTTTACATTTAGCGGTTCTCGTGCTTTACCAGCTCACACTGATTATGTAACGTAAAGGGCTGGAAAATATGTTTCTTTCTAGAAACCCGTTAGCTGAGAAAAACAATTCTGATGGCTGATCGCATTGTATCAACGGCAAACATTGGATACAAACCACCAATTAAGAATTTTTAATCTGGTTTTGATTTGCAGCTATAAGCAATTGACGGTTTCAAGAAAATCTCATCTTTTGCTGTAATAACCCAAGATCGAGTATATGTTTTCACCTTAAATCGCATCTTAAAACATCTTTTAGGTAATGGGGCTTTGTGAATCAGGGTCTTTTTTAACATACTAACAGGGCGCAATTGTCCCTCCAGCCCAAGTGATTTTCCATTGTTTTAAACAATAGGCTATTGTCCTCATCTTTGTATAAACAACGGCTTGCCCCCGCAGCTAATTTCCCTTCGAAATGGCTAATTTTTGCTCAATATTCATCGACGTCCAAAACGCTGAACAATATTGAAAAATCAATTTATTCTTCTAAAAATTGCCTGGCTATCAATTTGCGTAGACTTTCTTGTGTTTTCCAAAAAGGGTACACATGTTCACATTTCTTCACTGTGACCAATTATTAATCTGCTACCCTCAACATTTCATGTAAACCATTTATCTACAATATGGGATGCTTGTTTCCGGCCAACAGCACGACGTCCAAGATTTCCTCAATTCTTCTCTACTTTTACAAACAACACTTACTGCACAGCGGACAGAAGATGTCTAGCCATGGTTTGAAATTGCATATGAACTGGATTCTGTAGCATAGGAAAATAGCGCTCACCATTCACAATAGGCTGTGAAAGGGGCACTTAAGAATCTGCATAGAATTGTATTCATTTGCACATCGTGCCACAGTCAATATTGTACTAAGTCCTGTTTCGCAGCTGACATTTCAAAGCGATTAATGCAGAATATCTAGAATGCTCTGTGCAGATGACAGTATCTTTAGGCATTACACGGGATACCACTCTAATTTTTGGATTAGGGGCATATTCTATGTTAGGAGTGCATAGCAAGGGGATCTGAGGGGCATATTCTATGTTGGGAGTGCATAGCAAGAGGATCTGAGGGGCATATTCTATGTAAGGAGTGCATAGCAAGGGGATCTGGGGGACATATTCCATGTTAGGAGTGCATAGCAAGGGGATCTGAGGGGCATATTCTATGTTAGGGGTGCATAGCAAGGGGATCTGAAGGGCATATTCTATGTTAGGGGTGCATAGCAAGGGGATCTGAGGGGCATATTCTATGTTAGGAGTGCATAGCAAGGGGATCTGAGGGGCATATTCTATGCTAGGAGTGCATAGCAAGGGGATCTGAGGGGCATATTCTATGTTAGGGGTGCATAGCAAGGGGATCTGAGGGGCATATTCTATGTTAGGGGTGCATAGCAAGGGGATCTGAGGGGGCAGAGCCTTGGCGTTGATGATGAAAAGTAATATTTCCATTTTCCTTGCAATTTGTTCTTTGAGAGTCTTTTTGTGAGAAACCCTATGTCTACACCACATTATGCCCCAGTTGGTTATATATCATCCTCTTCAGAAATATTTTGCAGAATACTACATAGACAGCTCCTCTTCTACAGACAAATATATAGAACCCTGAAAATGCAATTAGAAAATTGTTTTAGTTGAGATCGTGTATTAGTGTATGAGACAAGCCTGCACAGTACCTCCTGCCGTTCGTATATGATTTCCCAATGTATAATCTGCCAACCTGTTACAACAGTATACTGCTCAAACCCACTGGCAGCTTCAATCATAACACAGGATCTATCACAAATACTCTTCAAACAAAAAATTGATAAAAAAGAAATGTTTTGACTTACCATGCGATACCAACAAGGAAGCTAACTGTCGCCAATGGGATGATAAATGGGTATTCTTTCTCATAATCCGCTATACCCTTGACATAATAACACCAAAACACGCAGAAAATGCCAATGCTTGTACTAATTACAAGAAAAACCATCCCTGGTAGCAGCCATGTCCTGGAAAAGCAGATAAATTGTACGAGTACTTCAATGGAAGCCACTGATCAAAGACTAATTGACTTACTTAAAAATGGATTGTGTTTGAATTTTCTATTAACTGGTTCAAGAACATTTGAATCATTAAGAAAGAGGTCTTTGGTTTGTCAGCACTCAGGAATTTATCTGATGAACGTTTTCAAATTCAATAATCAAACAAAAATAGGAATGTATAAAAACAGAAAAACTTTTTTAAAAAAGTGGAATTGAATAATAGATAGAGGAATTGCAGTATGCATAGACAAGTAGATCTAATCATAACAAATATTGCTTGAATACATCTCTAAACAATGAACTCTCACCAATTTACTCTTGGATCTAATTTTACAGCAAGATAGAAGTCAGTGAAGTAGAAGACGGCAATGGATGTCACCATCCAGAATATTGAGTGAGTGTTTATTCTGCTTTTCTTTACATTTGCAGGATTGTACTTCTCCAGAATTTCTTTTCCTCTTTTCTTTAGTCTGGCTGAAAGTCAATAAAATATTATTAGGCCAGGCTTTATAATCCGATAATCAATGTTTCTGTGGCAACACATGACCTTATTTGATGAAACAAGATTCTAAATTATTTCAAAATGATACTTATGTGCACATGTGACATATTGTTTTATCCCCATGAAGGAAAGAGAAGCAAAGCAAAGCATGTTTTCTCAACCTTGAAGCTTCCATGCTTCCATATCAAGTTTTTCTTTCGTAGCCTCAGACATCAAATTCAATTTTGAAAATTTTTTTCAAATAGCATACACATTGAACAACATATAATCTAATGTTTGAATTTAATTTCCCTTTTCCAATATTGTAAAGTTTATAACTACTTTGTATGGAAGCTGTTTAATTGAAAAAAACCCTTTGGATCATCTTCTGTGGCTCACTGAATTTCTTATTTTCATTCATCAAATTACTGAGCAGAAAGTTTTTATTTGTGCTAACTGAACTTGAGCTGTTGAGAATATGACTGAATAAGCTGCCTGTATCATTACAACAGTTTTGGTAAAATTAGGCGTTCGATCGCATGCGCACGCCTCCACACACATCTAAAACTGCAGAGGCATGGTTTTTTTCGCACGCGCAGTTCCATGCTTTGACTTGCTATTTTTTCTCTTATGTTTCTTTAATTTCTTATTAATTTCGTGTTTTTGTATTCACCCCGTGCCACTCAATTTTGGTCAAAACGATAACGCGGGTGTTCCCATTACTCCATTTCATCCGTTCTCATATCCTTTGTTCGAGCTCTTTTTGCTGAGACAGGATGACTCGGCTCTCGCATGCCTCTGTCTTTGCTGTTCCGAATAAGACGATGCGTTTTCAAATGATTCCGTTTTCGAATGACTCCACTTCGAATAGCATTTTTTTATGGTATCAAATGAGTCTGTTTTTGAGCGTATTAATGGAACTCAAAATCGAATTGTATCCGTTCTCACACGAATACGGAGTAATGCCAACAGGGCCTACAAACTTGCATGCTTTTCTTAAATCACTTTGTAGTCAAGAAACTTCTTCTAAATTCTCTTAAAAACTATTTGATTGTAGGAAAACCTCAATCGTTGTTTCAAACAGTGATACACACCTTCAAATACATACATAGTATTTAAAAGGCTATCAGTTTTCATAAAAATCGTAAGGTCTCCACTTTATGGATCGCGAGCCATCTCACACCATCGAACGCCTAAACTTTCCAAGACGTGCGATTACCAGCACGCCGAAAAATTTCACATTACCAGGACTGCATTACAAGATGTTTTATCATGTCTATTGTTATTCTTTAAAATGAAATTTAGTTATTCAAAATCTTCACATTCATTCAGAGCTGAAAAATTTCAAGACAAGTTTCTGATTCCCACGTTTTAATAGGCATAGAAGGTAAAGACTAACAAACCAATGTGTGAATAAAAGTGTAAAATCCAAAATGGAAAAAATGAGAAAAAAGGAGATAAGGAGTAGTCACTGCCACCTGGTTACAGCCTCAAACCCAGATGGGGGGTGGTTGTGTATGCCCCTTGTATGTTTTGAGCAATTAGCTTGTAAATGGGCATAAAATGATAAAAAATCAACTCATCAGCCACGAGGGACATTTCAGGGCTTTAATTCGGTATGTCCGTTTCTCGTGGGCGCCCCTCACAATCCTGCGTCCAGGATCAAGGTTACCAACGAAGGGAAATACAGATAAAATATATATATATATTTATATGTTATAACGATCAACAAAAAGTAGCATTCGACACAGAGTGCTTATTAAAGTGTTGTAGAGTGTATGGAGGCACTTTAATTGAGTGGGTAGGGATAAACATGGTACGGCGTGGCTCTGGGAACAAAGGGCTGGGAAAAGTGGGAAGGGTTAAGTGTATAATCTGTACATAGCGGCATAAACTCAGAGTTGGTGTGGTTGGGTGTGGCTATGGGAAGGGAGGGCCAAATGGGTTGGAAAAAGGAAGAAGTAGGGTACCTAATCTGGAAATGGGTTTGGATGGATAAAATGGATGGAAATGGACAGGGCTGTTGAAAGCTTGGGACAAGGGGGGGGGTTGTGTGATGCCTTATCTGTTTCAGGGGCCCCATTTGAGACCCCGATTAATTAATAAAAACTTTGCATTTTGAACATGTGCATTGTATTTTGTTAATGATATCCTTTTTATACTCCAGAAATAAGACCCTTTCTAGCAACCATCCCTCTACAGCTATACATTCAAATGCAAAGCAAATCTACTCCTTAAGTTTTTTCAAGAAAATTACATCTAGATGGAAATTAAGAGAACAAATATGACGATTATTTGTTTATCGTATTCTCAAAAATTTTCTTATAAGTGCATTTTTTCACACAACACAGGCCTTCCTGGAAAAGGCGTGCGGTCGCACTCGCACGCGTTGATACACGCCTCCCCACAGTGGGAAGTGCGTTTTATCGCACACCTGTTTTATAATTCATCGTTTGCGTTTTACCAAAGCGCAGGAAACTAATAAGATGACAGAATGGCTTTTAATCGAGATATTTACCATGTTAAATCTGCAGTACTTGCACTTTTTATTTGATCAGTTTCACGAAAATATGTATTTGCTTAAATTTCCTTCCAAAATGGACGAAAATTATTCCGATTTCCCTATTACTAGATTTATATGAATTAATTGCCTTCACTCGTCATTTTCGCTTTCGACTTACTCAAGAAACTGTTCCTGGCGTTGTCTTAACACACGAGCTCCTTTAACTTGTGTTATTTGTCTAGTTTCAAACTTTTCCTTGTTTGGTTTCGAAACTTTCCCTTGTTGAGTTTCGAAACTTTTCGAAACTTCTGATGCGTTTAGAATTGGCGAATAATGACAATAGAGTTATGAACGCCATAAAAATATTTTTTTAGAACTTTTAACTTTGTACCACATTGATTAATATAACACAACGAATTATCCCTAAATATGCAAAATCAGTTAGATACAGTGGAATCCCGGTATAACGAACCACGGATAAAACGAACCTCCCGGTATAACGAACTAAATGTCTGCTCCCTTGGATCATACCTAACGAACTCCTTACAAATTTTCTCGGTATAACGAACTCCGGATATAACGAACTCTCATTATTGAGAACCAATTGTTAGATCCCCTCATCATAATTACCCTCGATATAACGAACGCTTCATAAATTTTTCATCTGTTATTTTTGTTTATTTATTTTCGGTGTTCATTTATCACTTTCTCTTGGGGAAAATCATTTTTGCAATCAGCAAAACATTGTGATGATACATTTCAAGCACTGGCTGATAGACTCAGAGCACGATAAGATGAAAGTTTGATCGCGTCAACAATTACTGCGAACATTGACACTAACTAAAACCTTTTTACATATGAGACATTGGCAATGAGCGAGAAAAGACTTTATTGAGAGACCCAGATGGAGAAGCAGAAGAAGACAAATAAGAATGTGAAGTAATCAAAGACATCATTCAGGCACCAACTATGAGCAAAGTGATACCAGCTTTGCTGATCTCCTGGTCCCAAATTATAAAAGGACCCAAAAAATTTTCTGGTTCCCTTCAGAGTTTGTTATATCAGGATTCCACTGTATGTTACAAATTGGGAAAGCTTTGGCCAATGAATGATATTAAGTTTACTACATGCTGCTGTTATTCTGGCATGGTTCATCAAATTTAAAACAGAGACAAAAATACAATGATTTGACGGTGAGAGAGCCGGGGCTCAAATTGCCATATCTTAGCCAGCTTTTAACATATAAATATATTATGTAATTCAAATAAGAATTTGTAAAAAAACAGCTTTGTGTACCGTTATAACATTGAATTTGCCAAGTCAGTTTACTAGCCACAGTTTACATAAACTATGAAACACTTCCAATGTGATTGGCCTGCTTACTGACTGACAACACCATAAATGTGATCCCAATTTCTTAGAGAATCTTTATTTATTCTTTCTAATTCATAATTCCTTCCCTTTTCCTTCCAATCAGCCAAAATTCCCAAAGAAAAGGATAACTCCTTCCAAGTGGAAGTACTGTTCAATGGAGGGCTGTTAAGTTCTCCAGTTCTTTATAGCTATTTCAATGTCAAAGACAAGGCATTGGAAAAGCTTTTTCAGCACACTGACAACTGCCCAGTGCGAAGTGTGCCCACCATAAACTCCGATCTTTAGGCCCGCTTGCCAAAGGCTTGACAAGGGCTATCGTGGTCTAGGAGAACCTACTTCAACTTAAAACACACCCTGATAAGTTCCAAATTTTTAAATTCAAACACTTAATTAAAATTTTTAATTCAAATTTTAGCCAGGTTTAGGGTTTAGGTCATAAAAAATGAATCTCTGTCATTTGGCTTTGGCGCCAAGTTATTCTAGGTTTCTCCATCTACATCCTAAGCCAGGCAAGCATTTCCATGTTTTTATGATGGATTATAGTTAAAAATCACTTTTTGAAAAATAGTTACTTGTAGAGTGCAACGTGTAATGCATAACTTTGAAAATCATTCTGTTTTAATATCACACCCCATTCACTGATAACGGCTTTCAGTCAAACAATGGTTAGGGTAGGATAGTTCCAGTATGCAGTATGATAGCACACCCAAGATGCATACATGTCACCATTTAATATGCGCATAAAAACTACCTCTATTCAAGTTATATCGAATGATCGAATGACCAAATGATAGTCTTAGTGCGCTTTGCATTTTTGGGTAATTTCTCCACACCCGCACCTGAGATGTATGGCTGCTGATGCAGCTAAGATCTTGTCAAAAATGACCATACTCTGCAAACTAGGGGTAGCTGGGTTCGGTAAGGTAAAAAATTTTGGATAAGTGCTTGAAAGTGACTGAGGGAGTTGTCTAGGCCCATGTAGATGTTTTCAGAGATTAAAGTGAAAATAAGATAATTCTATAATGAACAGTAAAGAAAATGGTGCTTATTTAAAATATTCCTTGCTTAAGGAAGCCAGTTAATATAAAAACTGTTAAAAAGTCTCAAATAATCTATTTTGACATTGGCCAGCATGGGAAATATACACTGAGAGGACAAAAGTATGGAAACGATAGTCAATAATGGCGCTCACAGTGGCCAAGGGCCAAAGGCGATACATTTTCGAAACAAAATTACTAGGTGAAGGGGTCTTCGTTGCTAGTTACTTCGGCAGGAAAACAATGCGTCATTTCAATGGTTTTGGAATAAAAACAAATTTGAAGGATTATTCAACTGTTTTGAGAACAAAATACGGGGAAACGTTGAACCAACATTCAGAAAAATTCTGAAAAAAATTATTGAAGCATTGATAAACAATTAAGATAAAATGTTGCCAATTTTGAGGAAGCACAACATACTTTGTTTATACTGAAATCTGGATACGTTTATGTTTAAACTAACAATAAAATCATTACTTGGAAGATTTTTTTTGGAGAGAGTTAGCCAGCAGATTATTGATAATGAAACAAGACGAACACAGTTTAAAGGTGACGTTTAGCGATCAAAATAATTCATTGTCTAAAAAACATAAACAGCTTGGATTTAAATTATTCTATTCACGATTTACAAAAGCACAATGAAGAAAAAACGTTCTACTAAATGTTTTTGAATTGTGTTACTTGTGTAGATGATGAACATTAAAGATTCAAAACCAGTCTTTTTAGTCAAATGAACAGCGACTCACCTGGTGTCAATAGTGAATTTTTCAAACCCTAGATTTCTGCTAAAACAGTCTTCTAAGTAATAATTTTGTCATCAGAGCTAAGCTTGAAGTTTCTTTACCGATATTTTTTACTTAAGCGTTATATCCTTTTTCAAAAAAGCTTCATTTCATTGTCACTATTTACAAATGCTTCAGAAATTTTGTAGAGAACAAATTTGAAGCAGTGCTTCAATGCTTTACTGAATTTCCTCCTTTGAACAGCAAACTAATCGTTCAATTTTGTTTTCGACTGAAACTCTGTAAGATGACGAATGCATTTTCGCGCCATTAACTATCGTCCCCAAGCCCCTTCACCTAGTAATTTTGTTTCGAAGATTTATTGTCTTAGGCCCTTGGTCACTGTGAGCCGCCATTATTGACTATCGTTTCCATACTTTTGTCCTCTCTCTCAGTGTAGATATTGCAGGTCCTAAAAATTTTTCCCAGACCCCCCCTGATTTTAATTTATCTATCTACTTCCTACGCCGACAGCTCTCCAGATGATATCAGATGATGATATTAGCCTTTTTTGATATCAAAGAGAGAAATAAATGTCCTTCTTATTTGGAATCAGAAATGACACACTTGATAATTTTAAAATATCCGTTTATTCTTGGTAATTTTGAAATATAAAATAGTTGCAACAAGATTTCATTATGATGAAATAATAATGTCAATGACCTTGGCAATGTCTACCCACTCGGGACTGACAAAACTCGCTAAATTCATGTAAACTTTCCTACCATCTGCTTTTGCGTTATATTCTCCCCTGCTAAATCCTTCAAAGGATTCCGAGAATGGGTCTTTCACAGATCTTTGATACGAGTACCCACGACCTGAACCATTGCTGTCGGCCATGTTTATGAAATAAAAACATCCAGCTCCTTCGTAATGTCCATCTCGCAGTGTCCAAACAAGAGCGTCGTCAAATACCTTTTAACATGTGAAATCAGTTCAATCTGTTAGAAATTGGCTGAGGTATGGCCACATAGGACTTTGGTCTTTATTTACAAAGCCATATAACTTTTTGCACAGAACTAACAAAAACTAGATTAAAGGAACAGGAATCTTCCGTGTTTGAAGGGGTGCAGGGGGCTGAGATCTTGCAATTTCGTCGCTGAAAACAGATTTTTCTGATCAAACAAATTTTTCAGATAAAAAAATTTAGCCCTATTTTATTGTCATGAAAAAGTTAAAAATACATAAGATTAGAACTTTAATTTAAAAATCGACCCATGCCTCTCTTCACTGTATAGCATTTATTTTATTTCCTTATGGTTTAAGGTGTTTTTTGCATCTTTAGAAAATCGAGTTCTTCTAATTTTTACTTACAGTTTCATATTTCTAGATATTTGCTTACAACTTTGGAAAATCAGTTTTTACATGTGGAGCTTGCTCACCTTAAGAATATAAATAGTAGAGGTATTGTGAAGCAAATAGACAGTTGTAGAATGAGGTATTGAATTTGTTTAGTTGGGCACCCTGTTTATAAGCGCCTACGTAACGGCAGTCTTGTTTTTCTGCACAGAGTAGAATCTTTAGAGTTGTTGAAGGAAGTTGTCGCCTGAAATTATCACGAACGAACGCACTATTATAACGAAACTTTGTATATCATTTATTTCATTCACGAATCATCACAGTCTAAAATGTAACTGTTTTATATCATATCGTATTCTGGCAATCTTTCAGGCATTATTTGTTTGGTTTTCCTTACATTTTGGAAATGTTTAAGGGCGGCTGAAGCCCCTGTAGCCCCCCTCTTCCACGCCCTCTGATTCAAAGCACAAATGTGGACCATGCTTTGACAAAAGTAGGGGATTTCCTTGAGAGCTTTTTTTAGTTGTGTGAATCAAATGTCGTTCGTTGTCAATTGAATCAAACGTCGTTCGTTGTCAGTAAGCATTGATTCCTAATTGTGGTTTAAGAATGATTGCAGCACTGCAATTCCATCGGTTGCAGTTTGGTATACACTGCACTTATTTTCGTAATAACTCATTGTTCTTATTTTTTGGAAAATTCAAGGCCCGGGGTTTTTTAATATTGTTTTTATTTCAACACTGACGTTACCACGAATTAAATAACAGAATTAAATAACGCTATGCATGAATCAGAAGAGTAACATTATATTGCGATACACTAGTGAGTGACAGTTTCAGTGAAGGATTCATTAATGGATTAATCTGAAAAGATTTGTTTATACCATGTTTATACATAAGTCTTAACGGCAACAGTAAACTTGCCACATCATGCTAGACGGTCCCAAATTATTCAGGTTTTGCAATTTTTAGATTAAATCAATATCTGAATCAATAAAACTAGCTACAGAGCTAATCTTTTGGTACAGGCACCGCGGAGCAGGAGGGCTATGGCACTTTTTGCAAAAAATTCCCTTTTATTAAGTATCAAACTACCAGAAAAGCCTCCTTTTATACGGTTTTAGCCCCCCCCCATTTTTAGACCCCCCACTTTTCTCAACGCTACGCACACTGCTAGAAGTAATCTATTCAGTCGGTTTGCTGCAATATTTATAGAGGTTCTAAACAAATATACCTATAAATATAGTTAATTTCATATCATTTCTATGAACTATGCTATAAACATGGCATTAATTAAGCGTAAAACTTTGAGTAACAACTTGGCGTACATATATACTTTTTTACCTTTCCGGTCGTCGACCACCCCTACTACATGTACTCACTCTGGGTATGTAGAATATTTTTTGATAAGGCATTTTAAAGAAAAATTGTGCAAAGTTAATGCAGGAAAAAAGGTTTAGGTCCCGAAACGGAATTTAGCGAACAATTTAATGAGCATATATGTTGTAAAGGGGGTATAACTAGAGCTCCGAAACCACATTTGGCATACCTCCTACAGGGATCGCGCCACGAATTTGAAAGTGGGGGGGGCAAGGCTAAAATGTAGGGGCCAAGGCTTCTTATCCCTTTCACTGAAGCTTTAAAAGTGGGGGCATGGCCACCCTGCCCCCCCCCGGGTGGCGCGGGCCCTGTCCAATACGCACAGTATGTTCAGCAACCAGAAAAACAATTAGCACAATTAGCACAGAAGTGGTTATTTATTTACACATGTTAACAATATGTGAAAGACGTCTTCGACTTTTATAATTCAAATTGTTTTCACATTAACTACCACTATATACTCTAAGGTCCTTAATAGAAGGGGGGACGCTTATTAATTTTTTCCGATCCCACCGGAGCTTATTTGGAACCCCCGCTTATTGATTTTTATATTCAATCATTCATATCCCTTATTTCATTTGTCCTTTGTTCTTTCAGGTGTGAAATTTCTGTAAAGTTTCTCTTAAATGAAAAGGTTGCATTGTACAAATGTTTTAACATCCGAAAACCGTAGTATCCATCTGTAGTATAACATCCGAAAAAAATTACATAGGTCTTGCTGATGTACAATGATAATAAGCCTGCTCATTTTAGTAATACAACAATGCATTATTACATGGTGATAATTGTCATTTAGCTATTGATTGTACTCAGAAGAAAACCTCATTTGACCCAAAAAAGAATTATCACGTAATTTTTCAGATTTTCACATTTCCGCCCCCCACTTACTAGGACCCCCCCCCCCCCGCTTTTTTACTTTTTGAAAAATTTCTGACCCCCCCGACTATCAAGACCCCCCTTCTATCAAGGACCTTAGAGTAGGCTTCTATGTGCTAGGCCTGTTGGCGGTACATGAAATAAGATTTAGCTATTTTACACCAATCAAAGTCCAGAAAAGTGCTGATTTGAAGTTATTCGGCTACCACAGAAAGCCACATGACATAATCATAAGTTAATTGCAGGGCCTTTTAGTTGCAGGGCATTACAGGTCTGCGGCAGGGGAGGATAATGCCTTTCATTTTATTTTGTAGCAAGGGAATTTCAAAGTGGTTTGCATCCATCCGTCCATTTCTGACATTTTGCAGGATGACTTTATTTTTATCAGGATGTTGCAATTGGCTCTTATCATCAATGAGCAGGATCAATTTCATGTTTTGATGGTTGTGGTAGAATAAAGATTTTCTGGACTCTGACATTTTTCCAGGCCAGCTGGGTTTGCTTTTGAATGGCACCTTGCAGTGAAATAAACTGATAAAGAATCATTCAGTATTAAATGTATCTGCTGCTTAATCCGGTGTTTATGCGCAAATGTCAGGATATTTATTGTTTCATCTAGTAGTTTAAAGGTAATACACTGAAATACCTACAAAAAGTTATTCATGGTTCTTCCAAACAAGCTGGAACCATCTATATAAAAAAACTGGCCTGGTCACTGCATTGAAATGCAAAATAATTACTTTGATGGTGCCTTGGAGGTCTTTCTGAATAAAAATTCTGTCTATAAAGAACAAAACATCAAATAATGCATATTAAGGAAACGGGCAGAATTAGCATCATATCATGTTTAGTATGAGGATGGGTGTGGAAAAAAATGTAACAGGTAAAGCATCAATGGAAGGAGGGTTTTAATTTCAGAAAAGGATATACAACAATTGGAGCATACCTAATATAAAAATTATACTTTCTATTTGAACCCAAGACTTGATTTTAAAATGCTGTGAAAGTCACTATATTTCACGGCTTTTCTGGCCGATAAACCCATTTTCTGCTACCTAGAGATAAATAATCATGCTCGTGTGTAAAACCAGGCCTTATTGCTAGACTTAGGACTTATGTAGTGAAAAAAAAATGTCATGACCTTTTTTCTACATCGAGAGCTGTTACTAAAGATTCTAACACGATTGTTAATGTAAATTCTGGTTTTTAGTTGCTTTACTACATAGCATCTGATAATAATAGGATACTTGTTGAAAAGTGTCACATCAGTACCAAATCAAATAACATCTGCTACATTGTATGTAAGTCATTCATACTGCAATCCCCTTGGACGGAAATCTCATCTTGCATTACAAGATATTTTTCCTTCTTGCAGCAATGTTTCCTTTTTCTGCAGTAAATGAAGCAAGAAATTGCACAAATCAACAAGAAAATTAGACCAATGGATACACCAATGTACAAATCTTTTTTCAATTCAGCTGAAAGTCCATATTGAACAGGTTCTACTGTTGGCTGAGTCTTTTTATCTCTAATGATTGTAGCTTTAAGAACCCTGATTTCCTGGCCCAGCCAAAAAAATGATATCTTTTGGTTTCTTACACTTGAAATTATCTCATGCATGACAATATCAATTGACAGAGATCTCGAACTAGGCATTTTTGTTGTTTGAATGCTTGGGTTCTCTGGATTTTGCTCTGGAACTGTATTCTGTACCAAAGAAAGAGTAACAATAGTTGGCAATGTTTTTGAGACATCAACTATGACCATATCTTTTCGTATTTTGAACATTTTGATGAGATATTGACTGACAGTTGCTGTAAATAATTTGTTCCACGCTTTTGTTCCTTTGTTTAAGAGATCCAAAGTACTTGAAAATTGTAATTTGAGGACACGAACATCACCAAAAACTGTAACAGACGCTGTTGTTGATACCACACTTATTGCATTAAAGACACGAACTTCAACTTCATAAGTTCCTGGTTTGTTGTAAGTATGTTTCACAGATGAATTCAGTGACAAAACTGGTGTCTTTATTGGTTCAAAGATCCAAGCAAAATGGACGAATCCATGGCGATTTTTCACAGTTGCATCATGAGTGATAAGGTCAGCAGTGTATGTTGCCTCTTCAGATGCAACTACTGGCTTCGTTACATACAAAAACACTTCTGATACTCTCTCTATTACGCGCATGATGGTTTTTGCAGTAAAAGAACCAGCACTGTTTGAGGCAAGCACTGATATGATGTAGGTACCAATTTTCTCATATTTATGCCAACGAACTGCCTCACTAAAACTCAAGTTATACTCTTTGAAACCATCACCATAGTCCCATGTATAAACAGTTTCCAAGAAACCAGACTGTTGATGAAGCTCTATCTTTGCAGTGGTGCCAAGAGCAATAGAGTATTTCTGCACTGACAAAGAAATCCCATCTGGGGCTTGTGCAGGACACTTTTTAGGTACTGGTAATAACTCTTTTTCAATGCCTCCTTGGCAAGCATCACCTTTAATTTTCCTGTACCCTTTTGATGTCAAATATGATCCACCTTCTGGGCAGTTAACTGGTGGATTGAGAGATGCAAAGCTAGTTGGAATACAAAGACTTCCTATTGTTTCTCTCTTGAATCCAAAGTCACATTCAAAATCATTCATTGTGCACTCACACAAAGTTATGTTTTCTCTACGTTTAAAATCAACTCCATAAGAGCAGCAAACACCATCAATTCTCCTTTCATAAACAAATTTCTGTCCTAAAATACAAGAGCCATAGCTTCCTTCTTTTTGACCAGCTACCCACATTGTAAAATTAGTTGGACTACATTTGTAATCAAATATGGAGGAAAAATTTACATGCCAGATAGTCCAAACAACTTTTTTGGAAGATAAAAGATCAGCCCCAAAAATCTTCAGGGTATTAGACTTTGCTGCAGGATGGGCTGCAACTCCTACCACTGCTGAAACTTGATTGTTAAGTGAGATTGTATCCCATGAAAAACCATTATTGCAGCTATATTGTACTTGATTTTGCTTCTGATCCAAGAACTGGTTTGTTATTGGAACACTGGCAAACATACCTCCATGATCAAGTAGCTTGTAAATATGCCTTCCTTTCAATGCTAGAGACCAACTCTGCCCCCCATCAATGGACAAAAATCCATATGGGTATTTTCTAACAACATAAGGTTTTTTTAAAATGGTGCCTTGAGCTATTACTACACCTGGAACATACTTTGATGATGTTACTGGAGACCATCCAATAACAAAATTATCTTGAATGTACAAAGAGAGCTTAACTATACAATCAGATTGGTAGCAATCTAGTTCCTTTCCACTTTCATCCCGATCTGGGAGCTTGAGTCTGTTCCACATTCCACCATTATTGTAAGATATCACAGTTCCAATGCCTATTTTGTTAGCTATAAATGTGCCTGGTACACCCGTCACTCTATGCACGTCTATGATTGTGCTACCTTCCTTCCAAGCTGCTTCCACTTTCTCTAAAATCAAGAAAAATTGCTTGGCTTGCTTGTCAGCAACATATAAGTTGGTGATTCCTTGCTTTGTCAAAGCTGCAAGTAAAATTTGATGTGGTTCATCTCCAAGAAAATGAAAATCAACATGTTCTTCACTTGTAGGAAATTCACACTCTTTTATTTCCTGGGTTATTTTGTGAAGCATAAATAATCGTCTGTTGCCAGCAGATGTCTTTCGTTGGATGAATATATAATTTCCTCTAACAAGAAGCGACCCTGGGAATATAAGGCCAAGTGTTTGGTCAAATATGTGTGCTGGCTGCATAAAAGGTTCCTCTGCCACATAGACAATGGAATAATTGTAGGTTGGAAGCTTTGTATTCTGCTGAGAAATTTTCTCAAAGAAAATGTTTGATCTATTATTTTGCACATCAACTGACCAGAAAAAATTCCTGATATTTGATAGCATTAAGTGCCAATTTTTTCCAGTGTCATTTGAGAAATAAAGATCGTTCTTTGTGTCCTTTATTAGCAAATAGTGTGGAAAAACTGAATGAAAAGATATGTATGTTGGTGAGAAAGTAACTGAATTCTGAACATAAGAATCACCTTCATTGAAACTTACGTACAGTTTCTTGTTGAATTGATCCTGTGCAAAGACAATTTGTCTGTCTCTAGGTGAAATGTTGATGATGCTAATTTGGGAGGTGTTGTCAAATTTACTCGATTCAAGGTTAAAAGATTTCCCAAAGTTTATTGAACGATAAACATTTGAATCTCCAAGACAAAATGACCTTGACTTAATCTTCTTCACTTTATCACAAGTAATTATAAAGATTACTCTGCTATCAAAATGTGTCCATGTGACAACTGCAGTTAGATGAGTATCATTGCCCAAGTTTGTCTCTGTAACTATTGGTTTCCGTTTTCCAGATCTACCACTGGCAGAATTGAAAAAATTAGTGTCAGCAGGTAGCTTGAAATCACTTCCTGTGTCACCCTTTTTTGAAAAACCAGAACCAATTCTTGGTCTTAAAAACACAACTTGTCTGTTATCAATGAAATCTTCATCGTACTGGAAACTGCTGCAAAAGCTCAATGAAAATATCACTGTCCAAACTGTACCAAAAAAGGTGGTCTTTCGATCCAACATGACTCAAAAGTCTCAAAAACTTGAAGGCACCTCGACCAAAGTCAACGGTCAATGAATCCAGTTCTGTAGATGAAGGCCGATCATCACGGAAAAGGCATTTGAGAAAAAATGCAACTCAGAAAGCTGGATTTCCAGGTGCCAGTTGTGATATGCCACCAGATGCTTCCTATAAACTTTAAAGTACCTGCTTTGCAATAGTATGCCTATGTTTGAATAGCAACCACGACGTCATAAATACGATTTACATACACCTCTTCAATTTAAAGAATGTGGTCTTCTGTGCTGCGGTAGCGATAGTAACAGAGAATTGACATCTGTAATCAAAATTAAACTTTAAGTACAGCTTGACTATACGATTTGTGAGAGCGTAAGCGAAGATGCGTTATCCTATACTTCGGGTTAACCACTTTCGAATTTCAAAGTGACACAACAACGACCCATCCTTTTGCTGCGTAGGACAAAATCAAAACAAAAATTTACCATGGCCTCGTTTTGAAAATACGTAAAAAAAATGGGGAGGACTTATTCGAAGGGGGGCTTATTTCAAATATCGGTATTCATCTCAAAGGTCAACATAATAAGAAACAAATTATTTGTAGTATACTGACAAAAATTATCTAACGTGTTCGCGACTATTCAAGTTCATGGCGTAGGCCCTGAGTAAACTGTCAATGGTTCCCTCGAATAAGGGCCCCTTAGGGGCTTATTCGAGGGGGGTTTATACGGAAGTGAGCGCTAACTTGAATATTTATATCAGATTCTTAGAAGCTTTTTACTATTTTAACTCAAGGTTCGGTAGCCTGTGTCCCAGTCCACTAATGCTGCCACATTTTTGGACTGTGCAATATCGATAAATATCCTGTCCACAAATTCTACCAGGATCTGGTGGTAATTTATGCAACCCTTGAAAATTATGCAATTAGCTGAAATTGTCAATGGTTCCAACCTTGTAAAACTTTTAAACTCTTCATGCACCATCTTATCTACGTCCTGTTTTAGCTTCAGTGAATATTTCTTCGAAGATTTTTCTCGTAAAGTTTGAATGGTTTCCTTGCATAAATCTTTTTTCATAAACTAGACCCAGCCCTCTGTCTGGACAGAATGTTTATCAATATTGCACAATCCATAAACGTAGCAGCATTTGTGGACTGGGGCGCAGGCTGAAGGTTCGGATAATGGCAGTGAAGAAGCCAGGAACTTGTTGTGGTTGGGCGAAAGTTTTTCATTCTATTTTGAATACTTTAAAATCACCAATTTAACAATGATATAGAAGCTTATTTATTTTTCAAATTTCGGATAATGGCAGTGGAGGAGCTATGAATTTTTAATGTTGTGGCTAAAATTAATCAGCTGAACGATAATTATGTTGTTATTGGCTTGTCTTTACGATTGTCGTTATTATCTTGTGCAACTGTGCGATTCGCCTCAGCCCCCTCTCGGACTTAGATAAAAAAACCTATGCAAAGCTTGAAGAGCTTCAAAAAACAATTAAAGAGCAGAGCAATTAGATGCAGAGGAAATAAATTGAATTTCACTACCAGATTAGGGCTTAGGCGATGGTAAATGCAATCAACGTATAACTATGTTAGCGTTTCTTTCCCGAGTGTCAGTAAATCCTCCTGATGAACTTAAGACATTGAGGAACATCCATATCTTACCAGCACTTGGGCTGAATGCCTACCCTCTCCATAGTTAAATAAATGAAAATTAATGGAAAATGCCTGTCCTCGATTAAAGTTTAAATTCAAACGATAGAGTTCTAAAAAATAACACCCACGTTCTTTACACTATTCATTTCAGCGAAGCATTCTCATATACCGATCGGAAAAGCTAGTTTAACAATATATATCTTTAGTTGTATCCACAATAACACAAAAATACTTTACTGCATGAAATCTGGATAATATGTTTGCACAGTGTCAGTAAGCATAGAGTCAATAATTTCCCTTTGATTCCTTGCTAGAAAGATGAACAGGGAAACCTTAACTTGAACTTAGCAGGTTGAGCAGCTAAAGCAAGCCCGTAGCCAACCCTGTGGAGGAGGGGTGGCAAACTCGCAATGCAGGGCACAAAATAAGCGTGGATCTGACTCACTTTGTGGAGTCGTAAATTAAAATTGTGGAGCTGTAATTGTAGAAAGTGTGGATTTGTAAATAATGCATGTTCTTAAAAGTGCAGCATAAAATACCAATCGAAACGCCTAAGAAAGAAATGGGAACATTTTTTCAATTCGAAGTGAATGCCCAATCCCAGCCTTATGTATTGCACTCATCTTTTATAAGAAAATTGCGATAAGAAATAAGCAATGGATAATAAAGAAGAATTAAGAAACTTCAGAGCTCGAAGCTTCAGTACATGCGGAAAAAAGTCAATTGCGCTTTATGATATTGTTGTGTGCTATTTTGAAGTAAGATGGACTCTGTATACAGCTTTAACTTCAAGACATCATCTCAATTTAGTTTGCTTTTATGACTTGCTTCAAAAAAGACACTGAAATTTTGGGGTTTTTATGTGATATTTTTCAGTAGATTTCAAAGAAAGTTATAAACCATTTCAACTAAGGTGTTTTAAATTGGAGAAGCGTTGGAAAATTCCCCTCAAGGCTACAGCAGCTGAACGGTGATAAGCCTCTCGGTGGTAGCTGGGAGGAACATTCAATTGGGAATGTTGCATAACAGGGACTATAGTCCTCCCCAACTTTTTGCAATAATAGGTTGGAAAATGTTTTGAAAGTTTACGCTAACGAACGCATTATTAGCAGTTCTTCTGGGAACAAGTTTTTGTTCTTTTTGATGGTGCTTTATCTTGTGTGATCAAAGATAAATTTGTATTTTATCTATCTCGATTTTGTATTTCTATATTTATTGAAATCTTCTTTAAATCGTTATGTCTATGAATAGGGACAGAAAAAAGCAAATATTTTCTGAAAGGGGTGGTTTCCCGTGTTTCAAAGGGCGTGGCCGTAAAAAATTTAGAGGCAAGCCTGCTAGTCCCGTTCCAGCCACTCCCTTGTGGGCTGGTGCCAGTGTGACCTGATCTAGCGTAATATTAACATGAAATTGGCCAAAAATCCTCATTTAGCATAACATCTAGCATAATTTGGAATCTAGCATAAAACTGGCATAATTCTGATATTATTCAGAAGAAACATTGTTTCCATTGATCCATTGTCTATCGTTACCAAATGCAAACAGTCTACATTGGGAGTAAATTGTGACTTTCCACCTTCAGGATATTGCCAGTTGTTTTGAATGGATGGCAGCCACATATTTTGTAGTTGGCAGCCAAATGCAGCCAGCTAAACGCAGTATACAAAAAGCTAAATTTTTGCTAATCATTGGGAGTGATACCGTAATAAAAATTTGCCTTGTAGGTTACAAAAGTTTTCACTTGCTTTGATCTAAAACTGTCTGTTATCTTTTGCTTTGTTTCATTATTCATCATTTGCAACTTTGAAATTATTTTAAAAATGTTTGAATATTATCTGTGCAAAAAGTTTTGTTTTCTTTGCATTTTAGTTGTTTTTTGCAACATGCTGCCAGAATTCAGCCAAATGTTGCTTCTTTGGCCAAATCAATTTATGAATATACTAATAATATATGTAAATATAATATACTAATATAAATGTACTTTATTTATATATAATATATTTTTCTTTGGGTGGGCTATTGACAAAATCTTACTGCACAGGCGGGCCAGATGAATAATTATGTTAATCATTGGCTGATTCTATATTGAACAGTAAATGGATTATTAACTACAGTTACGTAAAAAATTAAATGGAAGGTTACATAAACTGTTACACGAAAAAGTTATCGATGTGAAATGTTAAATTTTATGAATATGCCTTCGTGGGCCACATCTGGTCCGCGGGCCGTATGTTGGAAACCCCTGCCATACATGCCAAGGGTTCAACACGAATGCGCTTAAACATGCAGTGTATAGAAAGCTTTAGATAAAATTTTAAACATTCCGCCACGTCAGCAAATTTTCAAGTTAAAAATAGCACAATCACGTCACGCCAACGCAATTACGCCAAAATTTTAAATATAAGATACCCCAATAAACAATTTTCCTTCCGCTAATATTAGCTTAATTCAAGTTTTCACGACAATTCAATAAAGCAGCAAAAAGCCATTGACAAGACTGGAGACAAAAGTTTTGGGGATGGCAAACAATCGGTATTCTCGTGCTCCATGGGTGGCATTGCCACCCCTTGCCACCCCTTGGCTATGGGCCTGCAACTAAAAAAGTTCCACTGTTTTTTTAATGATGGTATTTGCTCTTTGCACAAAATTACGACCACTGAAGAGAAACCTTTGAAGACCCAAATGCAATGCCTCTAACATCTTTGGATGGCGTATCAAATGTTTTTGAAATTCTTTTATGGGGCACAGACAAAATGCTTAATGTAATGATGGGTCAAAATGCCGTATAAAAGAATATAAAAACCCTTGCCCATGAATATCAAAAGCTGTCGATGGAACGTTGTTTACCGTTGGCATCCTCTTAACCTGGGTTCCAGAGCGTCAGTGTCGAGGAAATAGGGGGTTACGGGAGAGTGCGGAGGAGGAGAGAAGAGAGGAGGAGAGAGGAGAGGACTTCCTCTCTTCTCTCCTCCTCCGCACTCTCCCGCAACCGCAACCCCCTATTTCCTCGACGCCCTATTTCCTCGACACTGACGCTCTGGAACCCAGGGTAGCATCCTCTTAGCAGGCACCGCGGAGTGAGGAGGGGGGGACTGGGGGCTAAAGCTTTTTGCAAAAAAATGCCAAATTTCAAGTGATAAACTACCAGTAAAGACTCTTTTTACGGTTTTAGCCCGCCTCACTTTTTAAGGCCCCTCCACTTTTCTCGACACTCCGCAGTGCCTGCTAGGCCTTTTTAATTAGATACTTCAAAATTACTGTCGGATCTCGGAGGATTATACCCTGGGTACCAGACCCACTCTATAGAAAATATTAGTTCTTATTTTATTTTATATACAGTGAGTCTGGTACCCAGGGTAGGAGAAGTTTGGACCAGACATTTGGGATCAGTGGCCTCGTTTCAGCGTCTCGGCATTCATCTTACAACACAAATGCTTTGGTCTGCGCCAGTTCGCCTGATTCAGTTATCAGCACTGATCAGGTGTTCTGCAGTTGGATGTTAAATGAATGCAATAATGGAGAGAAGGACAGTGTGTTATAAGTAAGCCAGTTTGGCCTAAATCGAATTCAAATCTGGAACGGTGTAGCAGTCCAATCCAAGTGCTTTTCATGCCCATGGTGAATGCGCAAGAGCTTGTTTTGATAAAACTAGCTTTTCATCAACTATGAGTGCAAATGTTAAAATCAAAACATTGGAGGATCTGACTAAACTTGCAAATAATTTAGGAAAGGTACTTTTACGTAAATATCTGTTGCCAATAAATGTCGGTGTTTCCATTGGTTGTTGCACGTGTGCAGAGGTGATAGAGCAGAAATTTATTGAACAGAGGGATACACTTAATCTACGCCGTATTTTCAGCATGGGCTGTGCTGGATTTTTGTCCGGCTTCACTGGAACATACTGGTATTTATGGAGTGGAAGAATCGCTGGCAAATACAAAATACTTAAGCAGCTACTGCTGTATCAATTGGTGTTTACTCCTTTTGAGTACATGCAGTTTTACTTCTCTGTTGGATTGCTAGAAGGACAAAGCCTCAAAGACGTGATAACAGAAGTAAAAAAGAAATTTCTATTTACCTACCTGGCAGACTGGATAATCTTTCCTCCACTGATGTTTATTAACTTTAAGCTGATTCCACTAAGATTCAGGTTTATTTATGATAACAGCATCCAGCTTATGTGGTGTGTGTTCTTATCATTCCTAAAACATCATGACCTCGATCAGTATCTGAAGAACTATGCTCCAACTCTTGTTATGTCTCCTTTTCATGAGGAAAACAGAGAAATTCTGGATTCATGAAAATGTCCTGAAGTGCATGAACTTTGTAGAAAACTAGCTTTTATATATGCATCAATACATGTCAACCATCTTACATTGTATGCAGTTCATTGAAATAAATTTTTAGCATGTCATTGTGCAAAGGTGGGAAGTGCAATTCATCTACACGACCTAAGAATAATATTATTGCAAGCATATTCTTTCTTAGTTCCATTTATCAATTTCTTTGGTTTGATTTCAACAAAACACCTAGTCCGAATCTTATAGTTTTAAAAGATTGCTGAATGATGTGAACCCAGGCAAGCAAATGCTGAATTAATTTGACCTGATTCTGGTCAGTTTGAACTTAACACAGTGACACAGATATAGTGAAAAAAATTATCCCTTTGAGAGACGGGGGTGGGGTGTGCTGTGTGCATTTCTAAATAAATCACATAGCTTAACCAATTGATCACATCAAAAATGGGGGGGGGGGGAAACTACTCAGGACCGGATCCTTTTCAGGAAAGGGAAATTTTTTTGCTTTGTAGACACCCTTTATATTATGCTCATTACATACCCCTTTTTATTATACTCCCAAGAAAGCAAGTTTCAGTGCAAGTTATGATTTATAACACAATATTGCCACATATTTAGATTTTGGAAGTGTTCTGTTAAATGATATCAATTGTGATAATCATCAATGAGTTTTCATTATATCATTGCAACAACATGACTGTTTAAGATGATCTTCCTAACTTATAATGCCTTTTTCTATGTAGAATTTATAAAAGGAAATACATTAAAAATAAATGCTTGGAAAATTCATGTTTCAATTCTTAAGCTGAACTCTATGTACATAACATGATTTCAATTGAAAATTAAAAAATTCTTTTTAGATCTACACATTTAACTTCTGCAAAAGTACTTGAATGTCTTTAGCTAGTTTCTTCACCATTGGTTTTCTTTCAGATATGTGTTCAGTTACTTTCTGGATATCAGATAGGATCTAAAAGAAATTTAACAATTTTTTAAGGATATTTGTTCCTTAACATAACATAGCTTTTCCTAGCCATTAATAATGAGGACAATGTATGTTTTTACAAACTGAAAAGTTCAAATTTTCTACAAAATCGACAAAGGAAGGAAAATTTTAGTGTTTTAAGCCCATTTGTTTCATGATGAACAAGCTTGATAAGAAAGTTTTTCACAATTGATTAGGAAATATTCAACTCATTAAACCCAAATATGTATATTTTTTAATATTGTAAATCTCAAGATAAAGATCATGTAAAATAACAGAGATGTATGTAAATGTAGATACAATTCTAACCAAAGTCAATGTGTTGAATATCTTCCTCTAGAAACATGACAGATACATGACAGTTTTGTTAACTTAACTGCACTTTGAAAAAATTAAAATAATGTAAGTGTAAATAATGTTTACCTCAACATTTAATTGAGTTGCTTGTAGAAAGTCATCATCACCTTCGAATGTGCCATCCTTATGTAATTCTATTTCCAAATTTATCCATTGTAATATGTGGCTTTGGCGCTCTTCTAGTTCACTGTTGAATGTAACCGACAACAAATAAATATAAAAATGACTTTGTTCAATGCTAATATTTCTGCAAATTTGGTGTTGTAACATTTCAAGGCAAAGCTGCGGATCAATTCTACACTTATCTTTTTACTTTCATAAAATTGAGTTAATTTATACATTTACAAAATTTTGATTTTGTGATCTATGTACATTCTCTAGTCTAAAAATGCCTTAGAAAACATTGATTTTTTTTAAGTGTTATAATTTTACTATTTGGGAGCTCAGTTGTAAAATCAGGCCATTCTATCATCTTGAGAATTTCAATTTTTTATCTAGAATTCAATAATCCAACATTTGAAAAAATTTTAGTTGTGTTCGTAATTTTGAAACGATAAATAAAACTAAAACTTTTTGTAAAAAGTGGGGTAATGGCACCCTCCCTGCCTTCACCAGGAGCTCTCGTTTTGTCATGATAATGCGATCAATCGCGATCGCGTCAGCACTCACGCAAACCCAACCACACTAGCGTTTGATCGCTCGCGCAAAACGGTAAATTGTGAGTGAATAAATGTCTCGAGCTGTAGGATGCTGCAGCAAAAAAGCTGTAGGTTGCAGCAGCAAAAGAGCTGGAGGATGCTGCAGCAAAAGAACTGTAGGTTGCAGCAGCAAAAGAGCTGGAGGATACAGCAGCAAAAGAGCTGGAGGATGCAGCAGCAAAAGAGCTGTAGGTTGCAGCAACAAAAGAGCTGGAGGTTGCAGCAGCAAAAGAGCTGGAAGATACAGCAGCACAAGAGCTGTAGGTTGCAGCAGCAAAAGAGCTGGAGGATGCAGCAGCAAAAGAGCTGGAGGATACAGCAGCAAAAGAGCTGTAGGTTGCAGCAGCAAAAGAGCTGTAAGATGCAGCTGCAGAAAGGCTGGAGGTTGCAGCAGCAAAAGAGTTGGAGGTTGCAGCAGCAAAAGAGCTGTAGGTTGCAGCAGCAAAAGAGCTGGAGGATGCAGCAGCAAAAGAGCTGTAGGTTGCTGCAGCAAAAGAGCTGAAGGATTCAGCAGCAAAAGAGCTGGAGGATGCAGCAGCAAAAGAGCTGGAGGATACAGCAGCAAAAGAGCTGTAGGTTGCAGCAGCAAAAGAGCTGTAAGATGCAGCTGCAGAAAGGCTGGAGGTTGCAGCAGCAAAAGAGTTTCGCAGGTTGCAGGCAGAAAAGAGCTTGTAAGGTTGCAGCAGCAAAAGGCAGCGGAGGATGCAGCAGCAAAAGAGCTGTAGGTTGCTGCAGCAAAAGAGCTGGAGGATGCAGCAGCAAAAGAGCTGGAGGATGCAGCAGCAAAAGAGCTGTAGGTTGCAGCAGCAGAAGAGCTGGAGGTTGCAGTAGCAAAAGAGCTGTAGGTTGCAGCAGCAAAAGAGCTGTAATATGCAGCTGCAGAAAGGCTGGAGGTTGCAGCAGCAAAAGAGCTGTAGGTTGCAGCAGCAAAAGAGCTGTAGGTTGCAGCAGCAAAAGAGCTGGAGGATACAGCAGCAAAAGAGCTGTAGGTTGCAGCAGCAAAAGAGCTGTAGGTTGCAGCAGCAAAAGAGCTGGAGGTTGCAGCAGCAAAAGAGCTGGAGGTTGCAGCAGCAAAAGAGCTGGAGGTTGCAGCAGCAAAAGAGCTGTAGGTTGCAGCAGCAAAAGAGCTGTAGGTTGCAGCAGCAAAAGAGCTGTAGGTTGCAGCAGCAAAAGAGCTGGAGGTTGCAGCAGCAAAAGAGCTGGAGGTTGCAGCAGCAAAAGAGCTGTAGGTTGCAGCAGCAAAAGAGCTGTAGGTTGCAGCAGCAAAAGAGCTGTAGGTTGCAGCAGCAAAAGAGCTGGAGGTTGCAGCAGCAAAATAGCTGGAGGTTGCAGCAGCAAAAGAGCTGGAGGTTGCAACAGCAAAATAGCTGTAGGTTGCAGCAGCAAAAGAGCTGTAGGTTGCAGCAGCAAAAGAGCTGGAGGATGCAGCTGCAAAAGAGCTGGGTGATGCAGCAGCAAAAGAGCTTAAGGATGCAGCAGCGTAAGAGCTGGAGGATGCTGCAGCAAACGAGATGGAGGATGAAAAAATCTTGATGATTGTAATACCGCAGTCGCTTCTGCTGTTTCTGATAGTCTCGTAAGATATCTCTCATCCTCGTAACTTCTTTGTAGATTTCCTCATTCTCTGGACATTTTGATGACTCTTCTTGACCACTGTCTCCACTTTCTGATGAGCTCTCTTCTGTTGACGAGCCTTGGTATTGCTGTCCAGTATCGAGAATTCTTTCTTCTGTTTCCGACAGTTCATTAGTGTGAATGCCATCGGATACAACAGCTCCTCGTTTTGGGTTACGATATTGAATACCTATGATTAAAAGGCAGTGTGAAAATCATTTTTTATGACGACACGTATAAACAACTCCTAGCCAGTGCTTTAAACCTTTTCAGGCTCGATTATAATTGTTTGCCGCCAGAGAAGGTAGCATAATTATGGTAACCTAATTATTTAGACATTAGGAAAAAAGTTTAGCAGTGGGAAACGGGTAAAAGTAAAGCGTCAGCAAACTAACTCAGGGCCGCGGAGAGGATTTATAGGCCCCGGGTCAAAACGAAAGATAGAAAGCAAGTGGTCCGAGGACAATTTTTGAGACGACGGTTGCTAAAATTGCGGCTATTTTGATTGCTGAAATTGCGATGGTGGCTATTACTTCTTTGGTCATTTAAAAGGGGCCTATTATAGGGAGACCAAAAGCCGCAAAAACCGTGCAAAAATCAACGAAATGCTGCAATCTGCAATGAAATTAAGCGCGAAGACGCGGTCGCGATAGCAAAAGAGGGCCTATAAGGGAAAATTGAAATATGAAATAATTAAAGTTTTCGGGGAGAAAATATAACTACTTAGATTTTTTGGTTTTGAAATATGAAATAACTTTGGTTCCCAGTATGAAATATGAAATAACAAAATAACTGAATACATCTTTTAATGTTGTGTTAGAATTAGCTATTTGATAACAGCATTGACTCAAGTGACTTTTGATATGTGGAGCTGTTAAGATATCATATTACGCTTTTTTAAAATTTTCAAACTTTTTTGAGACATTTTCTCAAAGAAGGCGCTTAAAAGAAGAGGTGGCCTTTCATACTTCACGATTAGTAAAAATGCCAATGGCATAGAATCTACGGCGAATATTTTTGGTTTATAATATCTCAACAAAATAGACGAGAACATCAAATGGCATCATAAAAGTGCTTTTATCTAATTTAATTGTTCCACATCTTTATACTATGAATTCTTTCTAAGACCACTAAACAACAGTTTTGTAAACCATTTAAGTTGCAGGATTGATTTGCTGATAAAATCTGCCTTCTAAATTTTCAAATTTCTAAACAGATGTTGTTCATTTTTCAATTTTTTTTATCTGAGGCTAGACATGTTTCCCGCGAAGTTATTCTCATTTTAAACAAATTAGACGAAGCACGTAATACACCAATTCGATTTACAGCCTCATTTCTGCGTTAGATCTACAATGCAAGCACAAACAATATGAAAAAATTGCATCCAGCCTAAAATTATGATGATAAAGCCAAATCTGAGCATAAAAATGTCGTACATAATGAAGTTTGGAAAAATTTCCTAAACGAGGCCGAAAGTCGAATTGGTGTATACTTGAGAGAAGCAAGTAACCAATCTCTCATAATGTCAAAACAAATTGTTTCTGGCCATACTTTTTAATTCAATATGGCGCCAATAAACAATGCTAAAAATTGTTAGATAATATGTTTTTGATGCAAGACGAGGTAACTATATTAGATCAAACTATAAGGAAAAATTATGAAAAGCCACGTGAAGGCAACCGTAAAGAGAATTTGGCCCACTACAGCTCCTGTTTTTTCACACTCGATGAGTATCCCTTGAAAAGACACCTAAAATATCTACTCTTTAGAAAAATGTAGTCAATCTCTAGTATTTATAACGATTTCTTCTTGAGAACATCGAATGAGTGGATTTTGCTTAGTTTTAGCTTTGCATGAACTTTATTTTAGCATTTTTTCTTGCTATCTTATGCATCCAAGACTGCAAGTGACTAGAAATAACAGCATGACTGTAGTATGAAGAATTGATTAAACAACTGAATTTACTGGTTATTAGGGCTCTTGGCGGTTAGTAGAGCCAAAGAAGATGTCCTAAAATTCAAAGTTAAAAAATCCTTTAGGCACATTGTCTCTCCCAGGCATGTCTTTAACTGGTCCCTTCAGGTTGCACCCTCCACGCAAAGGACTTCAGACTATCAGTTCAATTTTATCTGTGAACAAGCTTAAGCATTTGAATTTGCAACGCTTATTCGCCAATCTTTTCATTGTGTTAAATTTGTTTCTGACCTTGACTTCTAGTGTTGCATCAGGCGAAACATCGTCCAGTAAGCTCAAATTCATAAAGTATTATCTTCGCTTTACCATTGACCAAAACAGGCTTAGCTCACTGGTTTCAATGTCCATGGAAACTGAAATTGCCGAAAAACTTGACTATAGCTCTATAATTAACCTTTTTACAAATACAAAGTCTTGAAAATTGGTTTGTTAATATCTAGACAATTACCGGAAGTTATTAGCTCTGTTAGAGTTACACAAATGGGGTTAATACTATTGCTGCTTCTATCTTACTTTATTTCCAAGTCTTTTGCGATAATTGTTTCTATTATTGAAAGGTTTTGACAATGGAGAAGTTGAATTGCTACTTATCAACTTTTGATTAAGTTATTATCTGTGGGCCCATAAAGTCATGGGCCCCCGGGTCAATGACCCTCCTCTCCTCAGCATTGAACTAACTCCACAACATTTTTACTTTCCTAACCATAAACCTAGAGGTATCCACTATATATGATAGTATCCACTCACATATTTGTCATTAATAAAAATAAAACAAGTAGCTTATTTGAGCCAGATTAACTAACTACGAACGGTGAACGCAATTTTGTGACGGGCTGCAATGATTGCTTTAAAGTACTCAAAAAGGCAAAAAGCACACAAACCTGTCCTGTTATCATCAAGGGTTTTCTTGAACGAGGAAGGCGGCAGTAATGCCTGAGTAATGCTACAACCCTGTGATGCATGTGCTGGCTTTTTGATCTGAAAATAACGAATAAGGCGTTGTGTCCAAAATCACTTTCTTTTCAAAGTTGAAAGAAACTGATTCACTTAAGTGTAGCATGATGAAAGTAGTCCAAAGAAGTTGTACGTATTTTAAAAGTGGAGCGGCACATTGACTTCATAGTACCTCTAATAACGATCCATGTTAAAATAAATGACTTTGACGAAGCAGTGTTGCGGAAAATGACGCTTCAAGGGTAACATGGTGTCCTAAACAGGATGAGCATCTGACTGGAAGGAAAGCTTCTAAATAGCTGGGAGGGTATTTGCCCCTAGAGCCTCTATCAACAACAACAGATCGACGAAGCAAGAAGCTGCGCTCAAACAAATTTATTTTTGGTTATCTAAAACCCTATTGAATCTTTGTCAATTTGTTATAGCTGTTGCTAACATCAACGATGATGAATTCTCTTTAAAACGCAGAAACTGGCGCAAAAGTCTTGCTTCGTCTCATTTTTCCTTTCTTATGTTTGAGAAGCTGTGGTTTTGGTACCCCCAGGGTTGAGATTGAAATGTGATTTCACATTCTTTCTATACAAGAACCAGTTTTATCCAAGGATGGCTGGCTGCTCTCAGTTTATTTCCAAAACTATTGAGGCTGGATTTGTTTGAAATCATGCTTAAATCATAAGGGTGATAGTTTAGACAGGATGTTAGTTTAGGGAGAAACTTAGATAAGAGAAATTGGAAGTGCATGGGAAAGATACTTTTTCTCATTACCTTAGACTGTCCCTGATTATTTTAATGTCCGTAGGTTCAGCTTGTTTTTAATTTTATACAAAATTTTGACCACTTTTCAGGCTCCTTCTTTTACATACATTGTCTTATAAAAACGTACACTCTTTTTTTATAAGAACCAGTAAATTTAAGTTCAGGCTGACTGTTCTTAATTTTTTCAAAAATCTGAGGCTGGATTGTTTTTAATTTGTTCTTAATCTAATGGGGTGGAAGCAGTGCGAGTGCTAGCTTTTTCGCTCTAGGGTGGTGTTCAGGCCTCATTTGCCAACAAAGTTAGTGAGACAGCCTTAATTTGCTGACAAATTTGAATATTCACCGAAAAAGCACCCACACATCGATAAAAATCCTCGATTTTGAGAAAAAATGTTGTTCAAAATTGCATTTTGCAGAAGCTCAGCCTCAGCTTGTTCTTAATTTGTTCTTAACTTTTGACCAGTTTTGAGGCTCATGTTCATATAAAATTGTTCTTATAAAAAAAACGAGTGTATATAAGGTGTTACATTGAAAAACCACATCCAAGCACTGTGAAAGCTTGTTTTGCATGTTGCTTGGCCGACCTGCCTTTGTGTAAGCATTTAACCTTCGGTTGAGTCCAAGATTCAAAAGGCAATAAAAAAGTAACATGAAGCAGTAACAGTCAAAAGGTGTGAATTGCAAATTACCTTGCTTCCTCTCTTTCTTTGGCTATCTTCCTCTGAAGATATTGCAAGCAAAATTGAATCTCCTTTCCTCTGCAGGCATGGTACATTTGGTGAGGCTGGCTGTGGCGGTGGCTGTCGTGGATTGCTTTCATCCGTGAATTTACTCAACGCTTCAACTGGTTCCCCGTTACCAGATGAGTCCAGGAACTGACCAAGGTCGAACGAATCACGTAAGTAATCCGGTTTTCGAGGCAACGGCCTCATTTCCTTCGTTAACACTGGCAGAGTCAGGATCATGTTTTTCCTTTGCAATGACACAAAAGAGGTGGTAATCTACCAAAATACTACAACTACAAAGTTTTCCATAAGTAAAACACGACTTAATAAATACATGCGTTCTTGGGATCTGATGACGAAAACAATATGTGTGATGTTGCACTTGAATATAGAATGGGCTGTACTCTAAACACGTTGTTTCTTGTCACTTGATTAAAAATCATTCGGGAAAAATCATCAGGATTTTAAATGAACGGCACATTTTCTTTATGCTTTCTTCTTTTGGCCTTAGAGATAATACTTTCAGCACATTATACCATAAAAACCAAAACAAACAGAATTAAATCAGGTTTTAGGCCTTTGAAGACGCAAACAAAATCTTTATGTACTGTCTTATTTCTAATGGAAGAGCCAGGATGGCCAGAAATTTTGCAATCTTTATCTTACGTGTTTACAAGATCACATAGGCTTAGTTTTTTGTTTGAAACAGCAGTGTTAATGTTACGACGCTGTCATAATCTCGAAAGCGGTCTCGAAAGCTAAAAATCTCACATTATTTAGTTGGAACTGTTAATAAATTAATTCTTTACACATTAGTCACAATATGAAGGTTTTCCTAGATCCAATCAAAATAGAGCTTAGCAGATTCTCTAACAAAATATACCGCTCTCTTAAATATTTCATTATTTCTTATCATAAAATTCTTTAAGCAAGAATCTTTATCAATAAACGTGTTAGTAAGGAATAATAACATTATAAGTTTGTTTACAAACGATTTTATCGCAGCAAAAAAAGCCTTAAGCGCTATGAGGTATGAACTGATAAAAAGAACTTCGCTGGATTTTCAAATGCAGAATTAAAGGAAGCCAAGCTTAGGTTAGATAAACTGATGGAGATTTAAGAAATATGTAGAGGAATGGTGCCCACTCAACGGAAGAGTGCACTCAGCTTGAGCCCTAAAAGACAGCAGTGATTGGTAGCTGTGCCGCTGGAATTTCTCATGAGCTGTTTTTATTGGGCTTTACATTTAACAAAGATTTACGTTTGAACCTAAAAATCGGGGTTGTAGAAGGGTGCAACTTTTAAGTAAGCGGTAAAGCTTAGCTTTGGCATCAGGGCTTTGCTTTGCAACAAACACAAAATGCTTTTTATTAATGTATGGAAACAAAGACCATACATCACAAATGCAGTAAAACTGTTTTAGAAATTGTACAGTTTGAAATTTAGAGAAAGCTAAAGTGAGATATACATGCAGCGCTCACATTATTCAAATAACAGCCCAATTTTATGTAGCAAATTACCCATCCTACAGCATTGTGAAGTAGTATAGAACATATGGAAAAGCTTTGAGCGTATTACTCTCGTGATACATTCGGGTAGTAGGTGTGACGTATTACGACCGTTATGCATACGGGTTGCGATTTATCATAATGGGGCGAAACCTTGAGTAAATAAAGCTATTCTCACCTTTCAAAGACCGAAGGACTTTCTAGAATTTCTACGAAAAACAATAATGATCTGAGAGATACTCAAATAAGTAAAAATAATAAGATATCGCCATTTGTAAATTGGGAGACTATAAAAACTACAAAAATGTGACATTTCATCATTTTGGTAGTTGTTTAATATATAACACACTGTACCTGGTTCATTAATGTATAAAATCAATGAGAAATAAACACAAGCTTACAAAATGAAAAAAACATAAAGATGAACACGAAAGGTTGTGCCAGTAAGGAAATCAGAGGTGTAACTGAAATGTGCAGGTCTGATAATGTGAAAACAGATATAAACGGATCCGATGCGTAATTTAGCATTGTTTCTCTAAATAATTCTGAATGTGCTCTATACATGAGCAGTACGTTCTCTTATCAATAAAAAACATAGCGAAAAGAATAGTTATTGCGCTCCATCTGTTTCTGAAAAGGCTGAATTTCACTAAAAAAGTTAAATGCTTGACAAAATATTGACTAACAAGAAGTTTAGTTTTCAATGAAAGGGGCGTGTCCCATACTCTCCAAGAATATGAAAGATCTGGACCGCAAATTTCTCTGACTTTTGCATTGAACTCGCTTTTAGAAAACTCTCCATTATCTGTTCTGACAACGCCTCTGTCTGCAGAAATATTCTAAAAAATTGAAACAAACCATGGTGATCTGGAACATTGATGGCTTCACTCCTTTTCGTCTTGCTGCGTTCGTGCGAGTTGGCTTTTTTGTACCACATCATGGCATACCTTCTCACGCGTTCTTGCAACTTTATGGCGCCCTTTGAACAGACACAGGTTTCATTAATTTTAGGATTGGTCAACAAACGGAGCATTTCAGTGAAACACTGAGGCAAAATTCTTTTGCCGAAGGGATTATGGGGTGATATCTATGACAAAAATCAGTTATCGAAATCTGGAATGTATGCACTGCATTGCATGAATCCAGCAAATGCTAAATCCCAAATTTTGCATTCACGCAATGTGCAATTTGGCAAATTTCAGACACCATTCCGTAATTCGTTAATGTGTCATACTTCAAACTGTGATTTCCAAATATCTATTTTCGCCGTAAAACGTCATTTTCTCATTCGGCATTTTGACATCCTACAATCTGTTAATCGTGATTCAGAAAACTTGCCGATTTTCATTCCAATAGGCAAATGAGTTGAGCAATTCAATTCAGTTAGAGAATCTCTCCAACAATTTAATACCCCCGTCAGGGCACTTGTTTCTTGACACGTGAATGAGATACGGCGCTGTGTTCAAACGTAGAATGAGATACTGTGGTATCCGTCATTCGCACCTTCTAAATGAAAAAGGAAGGGGGATATTTCCAAGGAATATAACTCATCTCTTTGCATACCTAAGTTCAGGGACGTCACTTCTCTAATTTTTTTTTGGGGGGGGGGGGTGTAAACACTATTGCCCTGCAAAATTTTTCCTGTAAAACAAGTATAGATGTACTGTACTTATGCATATATTACATAAGTACATATATTATTTTCAAAAAGCAACACAAACCAACAATCGCAATAAAAAAAGTCAATAATTAGTCTACTTTCACACTAATTTACTTAATTGAAATTCTTCTCATTTTTTTTCATGCCATACTTTTAATACTTTATCAAGTGGGATAGTGTCTGTTAGGTCTTTCTCACAAGCAAGTAGAATGAGATCATTCAATCGTTCATCTTTCATCCTTGATCGCAGCAAATTTTTAACAATCTTAAGTTTGCTAAAGGTTCGCTCGTCTTTAGCCACAGACACAGGTGCTGTAAGAAGAAGGCTGTAGCATTTGTAAACCGTTGGGAAAAGTCTGTTTTCATATGAAAATTTGTCAGCCTCTTTGACGGAAGTTGGCTGGATCTGTTGCTGTTCAATCATTGACTTAAAAACATCAAGCTCACATAATATAACCCCTGCTTCAATATGAAAGCCTGGTGGGAAAAGCTTTCAAAGATCGTGGACTGTTTCTGGGTTTATCGTTTTGAGTGGTGGCTGCAACGCCATTGCCAATGGCTCAATTTTTTTAAGCATGCCTTGATATTTTCACCATACTCTGCTATCAGAGAATCGAGAACAACACACATTTCTGTTCTGTAGAAGGAATTAAATTTAAATTCCGCTGATCTTTCTGGACCGTTGTCAATCTTTCTTGGCTGCAACCTGAGTCGATATTTCCACTAAACTCAGCCGCTGAATCTATTCCATGCTGTTTAGCGCACTCGTTTAGAGCATCCAACTCTTCATCCATAGCCTTGTTATCAATGCGAATCTTCTTAAGATTTTCTACTGTTGCTTCAATTAACTTCATCGCATCTAGGATGTTAAGCTCTTCTGCTTGGAGTTGCATCGTCAAAATCTTTGTTTTCTTCATAATTAATCTCATGAACATCAATGCAAAAAGAAAGTCAAATGACAGACACTTTTTCTTTATGTCTTTACCCTTCACTTTTACCCTTCATTTCTGTGCTGTCGTCACTGACAACTTTTTCAATTACTTTGGGTATGCTTTGTAAACTTCGCCACACTGCTTCTATCGACTCTGAAGAGTAGACCCATATCGTTTTAGACATGTTGCGGAGTTTCAAGGAGTACTCATCAACTTCTTGAACTTCTTTATTGTAAATTTTGTTTCGTTTGGAGCTGGCACTGAAGAAAACATATATATCTTGAAGATTATCGTATATCGACGTAATTATGGCACTTTTTTTTGCACAATGCTCTTTGAAAGTATTAGATCGATGCCCTTGACATGGAATGTACGGGACTGGTCTTTCAAGAATATCTTGTAGAACCCTCTGTGCCCCTGCAATTCTCCCAGACATATTATTTACAAAATCGTATGTTTGGTAGCAGAGATAATTCACATTAATTTCATTTGCTTCCAGACACTTGAGAATACATTCTGCTGTCTTATCTCCATGTTTGTCATTGCACTCTTTCAGTTCCACGACTCTCTCGCGCACAATTCCATTTTCACCAATATATCTTGCAGCCACAACCATTTGATCCTTATTGCTAACATCGGGTGTTGTATCGGCCGAAACCGACAACATTTTAGCACACTCAATCTCATCTTTTATTATTTCTCTAACATTCTCCCCCAAGATCTCTAAAAGTTCATTTTGTGAACTAGAATCATGTATTTCGTATTGAAAGGCTTCAATCGTTTGCTATCAAGCCATTCTTTCATCTGTAGACAGTGCCTGGACAGAAGATTCACAAACTGGACAAAATTGCCGTTCTGGTCTCTTGCGGAGCCTCTGAAAGCAATTCCTTGCCTTGCCAATGTTCTAGCAATATCAAACAAAATGTTCATTATCGATTTGCACTTTTCTTCGTCAGCTTTCTCCTGAATGATGATGTCCTTCAGATGCCTATTCATTTGAATGTCAATATGTCCTTGTTCGACTGAAAACCTAGCAAAATCAGCCAATGCTGCTTGGTGTGCTTCAGAAGAAAAATGCTGAGCAAGCTTGCCACTTTTCATTTTATGCCATGATGCGATACTGTTTATCCAAGCAGTGTCACTTTTTCTTCGCGAGGGGCACGGAAATAAGAAACTCACTTTACAATACCACAACAAATCGGAAAAACTAACATATGTTTTGGATTTGATAAGAAAGTAAAATGAATTAAGATATTTTGTGAAACTTGATTTCTAATCTTTTTTGCCCTGCGAGAACTACTAATTCCTTCTGCTTTGCCCTGCAAAATGCTGTTTTTCAGGATTGGGGGGGTGAAACACCCCCCAAACCCCCCCAATAGTTACGTCCCTGCCTAAGTAAACATACCTTGCTTCGCCATCTCGGTTGGTTGGATGGTCGGCATTCTTTACTGTTTTTCATTTTCATTTTTCTATGAAAAACTTTGATCCGGGGCTAGAAGGCACTTTCTTAAAATTCAGAGCCGTTTTGCTACCAAAAGTCCTTTATCGGTTTTGCACTCTTCTTTTTATTAGAACAATTTTACATGAACACGAGGCTCAAAATTGGTCAAAAGTTACGAACAAGAACAAGCTGAGGAAGAGCTGCTGTAAAATGCAATTTTGAACAACGATTTGTTTATAAAACGAGGATTTTTAGCCACGTGCGGGTGTTCTTTCGGCGAACATCAATGTGCCTATTTTGTCTAATCATCATCGAAGATCAGCTGCACACCACTTTACCAACTATTAATGAAACCGCGGGAGCTTTATGACTGGCTGGACATGGTTTCAATATGTTTTCGAAAAAAACCTCAAAAAGGAGACGCATAGCAAAAAGCAAGTAATTGTCGTAGCTTTTTCGTATTTAGCAATCTTCAAATAAATAATCAAAATAAAGAGAGCTTCAGCAATTTACCCATTGCAGAACCCCACTCCCCCATTATTTTCTCCAATCTTATTGTCTTTGCCAATTTACAAAAAAAGACAAAATATATCATTTCTTGAAGCTGCCGCCGCGAGAGTTGCTTGGTAGCATAAAGGGACTTTTAATGTTAGCAATTTAGCCTTGGAGATAGCAAGCAACAAAATACTGAAAATACTGTTTCCCATGCGAGGGGATAAAGACTTTTTAAGAGAGATGGAAAGGGAGTAAAAGTGGCAATAGAATATTATACTATTATAGTACTTGATTAAACTTGGAATCTTGTAAAAATGACGTTTACCTCGATTCCACGGGCATTGGAGATTTTGCTTCGAAAGGCCATCATTCCAACTGAATACTAGAAAGGCAAAAAGAAAAACAGTTGTCCGACTACAGAGAAGTACAACCCTGCATAGAAACAAAATGTGGTCTCGCCCGGGCTCGAACCGGGGACCTTTCGCGTGTAAAGCGAACGTGATAACCACTACACTACGAGACCTTGCGTCCAGGAGGCGGAAAAGCAAACCATATTTGATGACATGGGCGTAGAAAGATTTAAAATGTAGAAAATACTGAACATCTGAAAAAAATGTATTTGAAGCGGCGATAACTAGAATCCGAAAAAACGCTTGGCAGACCTTTAGCCAGTGCACAATCAAAAACATTAACAAACACATTACAGGAAAATATCTTTCTCAATTCCGAAACAAGAAGTAAGAGACAATTCCTACTACAGAGTACAGAACTCAATTAAACCAAGGAATTCATCAAAAAACATTGCCTCTCAAAACATGTATTGATTTTACATTGCACATTTGAAACTATTAATCTTGCAAATTGTAACAAAAAAACTATGTAAACATAAGCACATATTGAAAAACAACTCAAAGTTAAGATAAAAAACGAAAACACCATTCTTTTTAATCTTTAAGAATATAATTTATATAAAAACCCTTAAACCTTATATGAATATTAGCTAAGGGCTTTGAGAATCTAAATTCCCGATGCATCAAATAAAAAATAAATATAAGGCTCGCACCGAAATCCATCGTTGAAGACAATTTTCCATAAAGTTTTCTCTTCTTAGTCTCAGTGCTTCTATTTCCTTTATTTTCTTCTTCTTTCTTTCCTCCACGAATTCTTTCCATGCGCTCATTATCTAAAATCGAACAATGAATAATAATCATCAGCACAGATTTAGTCTTAATACTTAGTTGCCAACTGCAGTGGATATTATTTCCCATTGCTTACAATATAATACCAAAATTGGAGAAAACGGAATTGTTAAAACATCAGCTGATACTACAAAGTTTCGTTTGACCTTATTCTGCAGTTTTACACTCCACCACCACAACACAACGTTGGTCCTGTTTCTTTCCTGAACGGCAACTTTATACTAAAAAAAAGAACAAGTGAACTAATGAATGACATTGGATCTAACTGACAGTGTTGCCAAGAGATTTTCATTTGTATTTTAATGAAGTTTCAACAATATCTATAGACATAAAAGACGAATGTTATAAATTGTTGGAAAAACTCGAAGATCGTTCTTGTAAATTGACGATTCAATTAAAGTAACAAACATAACAAATTCAAACCTGGTGTTTCCAGCACCGGAAAAATGACGTCAAACTATTCCTTATGTAAAACGTTTCACTCTGCCTTCTGAGCAGCTGGAAAGAACATTCGATTCTTATAAATATATTGGCTTGTTAGAAAAGTCCATTATACAACAAAATTCAGAAATAGAGAAACTTTTCCCTTTTATTCAAAGTTGAATCTCACATTGAGCCAATGGGTCAAAGTAACAGAATCTGCTGCCAATATTGCAGAAATTACAATCGAGCATGAGACGGAAATATCTTTCAACATCTTTAAATATTTGTCTCAGCTAAAAAGTGAATTACACCGGTCTGGAAAGTATGTTTTATCCACAAAATAAAGGCAAAGTAAAAAGAAATTACAAAAAGTTAAATCGCAAAATGAATTTCAATAATCTCAAGCAGAATAATTGGAAAAAAATGCAATACCATCTTTTTGAATTCCAAAGAAGCATTTTGTTGTAAGGCCTTCAGGCATTTCTGCTTCAGCTTCTGTTCATTAAATTTGCGGGCAGTGTTGTTCAACAGCTGTATTCTTTTAGAGTGCTTTGTGTGTTTAAACATGGCCTTCAGTGCACGTCGCTTAACATCTTCAGAGGTGTTGAAAAATAGAAATCAAACAAATATCGCACGTGCAAGAGGCCAAGAGCTATGTTATGCTAAGAGCTAGCAACCAATGGATTTTGCAACTGTTATGCACTGGGGAAAGGATGTTTCCTAGCAAGTACTTCAGGAATGCTGCTGATGAAAGGTCTCATCTTTGTCCAGCATATCTCCATCAAATAGACATTATTATAATATTTTGAAAAGCTACTACTTTTGATAAACTATATCCATATTAAAATAAACTGCCATGTAAATCTAATAGTCAAGAAAGCAAATAAAGATTGATTTTAGCGGCTGCATATACTCATGCCATCAGTTGTTGGCCAGCACCACCCCACACCCTTCCTTATGACATCCAACACCCTTCCTTATGACATCTCCTTTCTAATGGCTCATAGAGATAATACCAACCCCAAGCTGCAAGAATCCTCGCAAACTAGGGGAATATCATCCATAGATTTTTTACTTGTAGAATAATCTTAAAAACGAATGCAGTTTCTGTTAATCTATTACTGCTAAAAATCTGCTTACGTACTAAGCTACTGAATTCCAGTAGCACATTTCACATTCAAGAAAGATCTGACATGATTGTAAAAAAGACCTACTCATGTCGAGGATGTTTTTGATCTCTTGCACTCGGCAGTTTTCCACCCATCGCTTGTATGTCTCATGAACGACGAATTCTCTCCAAGCTGCAAAAACCTAAAATGTCAAAAGAATCAGAAATCGAGAAAAGGTAATCAAATGAAATTTACAATCAATGAACATTGTTGTTAAATATTAAATGCTTTTCCATTTGCAAATAGACTAAGGTAGTTTGTGATCTGCATGTTAGAAAACGGTGGGCACAAAAAAGGACAAAAGAAAATTGAATTTATATGTGACAATTGGAAAGCGGACGACAAATTAATTCATGATTGAAATATAGAGAATAGAAAGGAAAGTCATCATGAATGTAACTAGCTAAGAAGGGCGTAGTCACTATTGAGAAAAATCACTACTTGGAGTTTGGAAAAATCACAAAGTAGGCAACAATGAAAAATAATCAGCCATGGTCAAGGTAATAACCTAGGAAATGCGTTGACTACCCAAAGGAAGAAGAAGAAGACCCGTCAGGCTGGAAGACATTTGATTGAAGAACATATTGAAAATAAAAGGTTGGCCTCAACGAGAAACACTAAAAAGCAAGAGGCATCGGAGGTACAGAGCGTCAAGGTGAAAGCTGTATGCAACGAGCAAAAGCTGGAAAAGCTACTTTTGAGCACAACATAGATTGCACAGATTTACTGTAGACCGGCTAGTACCTTTTTCTTTGCCCGGGAAGAAGCAAAATCATCTGCCAGTTCTGTCTTCATTTTCTCTTCCGTGCATTCAGCAACGTTTTTATGCCATCGGTTGAATGTCCAGCTAAAGGCAGTTTGAACAATCTTTTACTTGAAACTCGAAAATCATGAAGTAAGCAAAAGGCAACGCTGCATAATATCACCAACATCATTTACAGTATAGCTGCATACTGAACATAGCCAGAGGAGTTGACTATATAAAGACCGAACGGGCTGACAAGGCATCCACGCAAATCTATTGTGAGTAGCATTGAAAAGACGCTTGAGAAATAAACTTCAGCTCTTACCTTCCCCTTTGAGTAGTGCCTGAATTTCAAACCCAAAAGTGACAAATATATTGATTGGTTTATTCTAAACTTTTACGAAAGAGGACACTCAAAAGCTACAATTTATCCATGAAAATGATTACACTAGAAAATAACTCCTTGGTGATAAGCCACAATGTAAAAGGAAGTATACCTTAGTAGAATTCGGTTCTGCGTGCGATGTCGACGCTCAACTTCTTTGTTTATATTTCGTCTTTGCTCGATGTAAACCTAAAATATTACAACATTCCAAATTTTGAAATCCTAAATTGGCCTTGCTTTGACTGATTTTTAGAGTTAATCGTTTGAAACAGTTATTTTGTTACCTGAGGTTGCGTGGCAGAAACGTAACTGTGAAGGAATCATTCAAAAACCTTTCTATACAGCGCAGTATCAAAACATTGATATTGTAATACTGCTAATTTCTAAAAGAAGGCAAATAACATACTTATTCAGTAAGACGAGTGGTCTAGCTATTCATGCGAATAAAAGAATATCACTTTTTACTAAAGCTTTCCACTTTCTTCGGAAATGAATCCCTTATGTTGACAATTCCTTCCTTCGAAGCAGTTATATTCAGCTACTAAAACCTCGATTAACAGGTTTAAATCGGCCGGAATGGCTGGGTGGGGTCTATATATTAGCTCTGCAATTAGATCCCTTCCCAACCACTTGGGCTATTTATAAAAACTCATTTTGGTTACTTGTTTGTTGTTTTTTCACTCATTAGTTTTACTTTACTTTATTTAATAGTTTTAACTAGCTTTACTTTATCGTTGATTGTAATCCTTTGTAATCCTTGTTGGTTGAAATGAAAATTCTCAGGTCTTATGTCTTAAACAATAAGACATTTCATTGACCATTTCTTAACGCTTGCTATTAGAATAAAAACATTTTCTCTAAACGAGATTCTATTCAAATCTTGTTTGTTCGTTTCGTATTCGTGGGGGTATTTGCCGAAGTCCAAACGCATTTGTTAGTGCTAAATTAATTCTTAAAAGTTCACAAAAAATCTTAAACAACATGAATCAAGACATACAAATAAAAACAGTGTTACCTTCATATGAAACATCATCTTTGAAAGTAGGGTTCGCCTGTGATGGGAATTCGCCAATCTTTGCTTGCCTGTCTTTATTCTGTTTATTGATGTGAACTACGAAACAAAATTTGCATGGTTTGCAGGAATTGTAAATGTTAAATCAACATTCGACGATAGTAAGCACCAGCATATAAGAAACCCCCTTGTGTATGAAACCCCCTATGTGTATTAAACCCCCTTGTACAAAAAAACAGGCCTTATTTTCTTCAAAAGGGGCTCATTTTATAAGAAACAATCTTAGGCCTGAAATTAAAATGTTTATCATTTTCAAGCATAAATAGTCGTGTTTTATTTTTCTGTTTAAGCTTTGGATGGTTGTAGTGTGTGTATTGGATCGATATGAAAAATTATACTGTAGATATTAAGCATTATACACTTCTACTAGTAACATTGAGTAGACATCCATGGATGATACTGTCATACAGCTTGACTTGATTTGACCATGATTTGATTTGACAGAACCTACTGATAAGAAACTTAGACCCTGATGATGAAAAGTCTCTGTTAATAAGAAAGTTTCTGAGACCTCAGTTCAAAAAATGGTTTCTTATATGCGGTTATTACTGTGTAAAATCCAATTTTCATAAAACTGTATCGTGAGATAATAATAGACAGTTAAGCTACCGATCTTTCCCAAAATAAATAAATAAATAACAAACCGACACACCGACACACTGAGATAAGAACTTAAATAAACAAATCAAATTTATGTATGTAATTTTTTTGCTGGTAGTTTTAGACAGCTACCGTTTACTATCCAGATTCCACTTTAAAATCTTAGATACACATTTGAAATCTTTAAAATTCATGCGAGCTGCATACTACGATTTTCACCCATGATCGGAACGATATGAAACACCTCGAAGTGACTTTAAAGCCAGTTCTTGTACAATACTGTAATTTTGAAACAAACAAATAAGGAAGTGAATTATACCGATTTCCAGGACTTGAAAGAACAGAGAAGTATCTTGTTTTGATTGTGATGTGAAGCTAAAGCTTCTTGATGTCGTCTGCAATAAAAAACATCACTTGTATGACTATAATTCATTTAACAAACATTATGGCACATATGTGCCTTTTTTCATTTATCGCATTTTTCGTTTGTTTCCACACTCCCTTCCTTTACTAATTTCCCCAGAAATGAAACTCAATCAGAATTTGAGAAATGGTCTTTCGGTCTCCAGTCTGACAGTGCAGTCTTTCGCCCAAAGCTAAAATTTTGCATTCAAAATTGTTTGAAAGCATAACGATACTTTAAATTCCCATTGTTGTTACATAAACTGTTTATGAATTACTAAATACCATATTTTTTACCACTTTTTGGCAGTAAACAACATTTCTCTACCACCTATAGGCTACCGTCTTATGTGTTTTACAAAGAAGAAAACTTGAGAATTTCCTGTCCAAACATAAAACTTGATATCAGCTTTACACGTACCTTTTCTTTTCTTCACAAGCATTCATTTTGATTTTTTCAAAGTACTTCGTTTTTACAACTCTTTCGAAATAAGCATCCGCAGAATCCTGAAATGTAGAATAATATCTTCAGAAAAGAAACATTTTACGAAATGGACTTCAATAATACACTGTATAAAAGATACACTGTATAATTCAGAAATAGATTCACTGTATAAAAGATGAAGGCAAATGTTTTGCTAGTATAAATACAAGTGAATTTTCTCTTTAATTCGATGAAAATGGTATTTTGTTCATATCTGGAAATATTTCAAAGTAGACGTATGTTGAATAAATATGGCTACAGAAAACACTTTTTAATTTTAAAGAATATGAAAAAACAACCTCCTTTTCTTGACAAATTAATTCTGCCTCGGTGTCTTGCCGCCATTTTACAAGTGTTTTTCTTTTAAGTATGTCTTCATGATGCAGAATTGCCTTCGAAATCGAAAAACAAAACGTTAAAGTCACTTAATCGAATCGGATGCAGAAAATAAAACAAAATGCTTTGGAGCTATCTAGTTCTTCATTAGGTGGGATTGCCTAGGAACAGGACCGTCGAGAGGAAGGGGGGGGTAACCAGGGTAGTTACCAGGGGGCCCGGGGCCTTCAGAGGCCCGTAGAAAATAAGGTATATATTTTTGGCTATGAGCAGCATTGGCAGGGAGGGCCCATGACCCGATTGATATTCGAAATTTAATCTTTCAACATGGGATCAACAAGCTGGTCTATGATGAGGGCCTTTTCTTGCTAAGGTTTATAATTAAAACATTGACGATACGATCATAATATACTTCTCCGGAAGCCGAAAAATTCGATTGCACTTACATATATCTACTTTTAGGTCAAATGTTTTAGTTATTCCTTGTGTGGACTTCCTATAAACGTAATCCTAAATCTTCCACTCACGGCGTACACCAGATAAAAAGCACATGCAAACAACCAAGACAAATCCAAACGCTATAAAAGTCTTTATCAAAATCACTAAGCGGGATCACGATCCAACCAACCCCTGCGATGTCATCTTACAGGCACAAGTCTGGTGCTCAGAAAAGGCAGGAAAAAAGATGCGAGAAAAAGAAGCAAAGAAAGCCTCTCGCACATTGTTTGAGGTAGGTGCTTACAAAAGAGACAAGGAATGTGATTCAACTTTCAATAAACCTGGAGAAAGCTCTGTTCAAAGCATTGCTGAAGAAGAAGAAGACACAAACGGCTTGGCTGCTTCGGTAGACCATGACACCACAGAAAGTAGAGAAAGCACTACTGATTCATCATTAAATCAAGAAACTGTTCATAGTGGACCATCTAGTTTTGATGTCGGCACATTGACCGGATTTCCAACGATAAAGGAGTTAGAAAAGGCTGTTAAAACTGGTCATTTGCCTCATCCTCCAGAGTTTCCCAAAGATTGCGACGGCCACAAAAATCCAACAATGGTCCTAAATGTGAAGCAGCAAAATGGGGAGGTAGTAAGAAGCTGGCTTGTTTTCAGTCCTACAAAGGCTGCACTCTATTGTTTGCCATACAGGCTGTTTGGGCACATTATTAATAATGGTTCAAAATCAAAATTGGCTTTTCCTGATGGTTGGGGAGCGAACGACAGCTGGAAAAGATTGTGGGAAAAGATTAAGGATTTCACCTCGAGGAAAGCAAGAAAAGCAGTTTTTTAAACATTAAATTAACTCTGATTTTTAAACTGATTTGTTTTACTGATTTGTTTTATATAGTCACTAATTACATGTTCTGTTAAAGACCTTAAAATACAAATTGAAGTGTTTCAGGGGCGTTGATTTCAAAATTCATGCCTTTTACAGTCCATCTAACTGCATTGCTAAGGGCGTAACCCAAAAAAGGTTTTGCAGCTTTCGACGGTAGGGCCCCATGACAGTCCCAGCCCTGGGGCCCGGCCCGTCTCTCGACTAAGTGCTTTTAACGAAAACCACATGAAAACATTGATCGTCTGAAGTTGTGCGCGGGTTAAAAAAAGCAGATTTCGCCTTTGTGACTAATCGAACTGTAACGGCGTTTCGAAGAGTATTGATAAACATGACCTGAAATGATGTTTCAGATATATAAACGGTTTATAATTGATAGAAAAGGGTTTTAAGTTTATAGATAAAAGATAAGGATTTTATCAGCTGTTTTTTTTAAAAAGTGCAAACACGTATTTGAAATGATGATTTGTGAGTAGAATTCGCACCATTCTTTCAAGCAAACGTAGCTCCTGTGCATGCCGACTTTGTTTCAACCACGTGTAGAAATACTTCGCATGCATCAGTTCCCTGCGTCCAGGAAGGAAATGAAAATCATGAAAATCTACACGAGATCGTCATGTTTTTAAGCAAACTTTGAACTATCAACTTGAAGTAATGTTATTGTTGTCATAAAAGTGCAAGGGCAAAAGAATATCAATTTCGTGTATAGAAGCAATCAGTGACTGTTGAAGATATTTTGTAATAAGTTCCTATAAAATGGCTTAGTGAAAAAAATTATATCGATACTTAACCTGTTGAAATCATTAGCTGTTGCTTTTCTCTCTTCTTTAACTTTCCTGATTTCCTTGTATTCATAAAGCTTAGCAAAATATCTAGCAAGAAGAAACAAAGTGAATTAACTGAGAAATTGCTATAACAAAACCATTTCGAGAATCGTATTCCATGAGTTACATTTGCATAACAGAATTCCATACAGGATTCATAAAAAAAGCTCTGCTTGATATTTAGCTAAGAGCCAGAAGAGGAGACAGGGCTCCCGAGAGCGAGTAGACTCCCAATCTTGTGCATGTGATTGTAAAATGCGTCTCTGTACATAGACATGTTAATAGACAAAAAGAAGAAACGTTTCAGCAAGGGATTTCTGAATTCATTCACTGTCAAAGAATTGCGGTATACTCATTGCAGATAGACGAATTTTCATATCTGTCTTTATATCTGTCTTAAATCCTGGAAGCCTTGAAATATACATCCTATGCCGTTATATAAAGCGCCATATATGAAAATCTCAATAATTGTTCCTGTCTGTCACAACTGTTCTCCCAACCATCAGCTGAACATCAACAACAATGAATAATTTGTAGTTCAATGCACAGTTACCACCTATTTTCACCGTTTCTTCGCAAAGCGAAGCGTTATGTAAACATCGAAGACACTGGATTTCACATTAATGATTGTGATCCACATATTTTGATTCGATTAAGGCAGTTGTGACAGACAGTCACTTATACTGAAGTATATAAACGTAAGATTATTTACTTCGGCAAACACTTCACTTCGAAATGCCGATCAGCTTGGTTCAACATTATTTTTCGCCGCCTTCTCCACAGATTATAATCTAACCATTGACTGAAATATTTCTTCAACAGTTTTTTTCTAGGAAATGAAAATCAAAGATAAAACAATACTATGAATGGTAAATGGAGGGTAAGAGCTCTTAAAACTTCTAATGTAGAAAAATAGGAGAATGAACACTTAAGTGAGAAGAGTAAGTGAGGAGTGATCTGATGTCATTGATAATCTAAAATCAGAACAAACGTTTAATGCTGATCGTTTTCGTGGAACAGTAAAACTCGTGGAGGCTACAATACACATACACTGGAAATTATTTTGTTGCTACGACAAAACTTTGTTTACCTAGCTCATTTATGAAGGCCAGATTTTTGATTTCTTGTGTAAGCAGGCATTTTTAACAGCTATGTTGAAGTGACTGACAAGTCTCAAACAGTGACATACCTGTGAAACATACGACCAATCTTTGTTAGAGGATACAATTTTAGTTCTTCAGAATGTTCACAACGCATCAACCAGCGACTCAAGCTTTTGGATATCAGCTAAGGATTATCAATAAAAACTGAATATAAACGTTTGGTAATGCAAACGGCTTCTAGTTGCAAATAATTGCAAGAAGTTTTTTAAAACAAGAAATCATTATTGTAAATTTTTAATCGTCAAAACGACAAAGAAGGATGAAATTCTCACTCTGCTTTTCCTGAAAGTCAAAGCCTTTAGAGATCCCTCAGCTTTCAGTTTGCGCTGCAAGGCTGCTTTTTGAAGACATTTGAAATATTTAGCCTAGAATTAAATACATGGCGTTTTAAATATTCATAAAGTGATAGTTGTTATAGACCTTCTTGGACCCCTTTAAAATTGCAGGAAAAAATGGATTTAAATACCTTGCATGCATATCTGTTTACGCTATTTCAACAAACATCAATCAGAAATGTTGAAGAATGATTTTAAGGAAAATTATTTTATTACGCGAAAAAAGACCAGACAATGCCAGACAAAACAACGTCTCCCATTGGTTTGATTTGAGCCAATCAGGACTAAAATGTCTTTGATGTGACTGTGTTGGGATCTAATGATAAAAGTGAGCCCTTCTGTTTACACAAGATCAGATTTCTTGCTCGTAAGTAACCGAGAAAAAAGAAAATGATATATGATATTATCCTTTGGAGCCGATGAAGTATAGAGAGCTGATGATGACGATATTAAGATAAAGAATTTTATCAAGCGAAAAAATCAACATAGCATCAACAAACCTTCACTTGACGATCGTAGTGATTGATGGCAGAGTCAGTTTTGATACCCAATATTTGAACGTCAAACAAATCTAAACTTGTTGTCAAGTAATGCAAATTTAGATAAATAATCTAAATTGAGAGGCAGATTATCATAAAATTAATGTTTACCACTACAGTGAACTGGATAAAGGGCATCCAGCATAAAATTCACTAGAGAAAATAAACTCTCAAAAGATTTCGAAATTCCAAATAAAAAACAAAATTGCCCCTCTGGTTGGCACGCAGATTCCTTAAACAAAATTCAACGGTTACATAAATTTTACTAAACTATTAACGAAATTTCTAGGCGTTTCTTTATTCCAATTATTATTAAAACTTAGAAAATATCGGTGGAGAACAAAGTAAAGGATTCTAAGAACTTTTAGCAAATCTAGCGGTCGATTGGAAAACCTAAAATGAAGTCTAAAGGTACAATACGTGCCAAAAGTACTTGGAGCAACTAGCAATTTTCATTGAATTATTAATTCCGCCCGAGAAACATGTAGCAACTGAAAAATTACTACTTCTGTCCCTTTCCTCTTAGAGCAATGTTGATAGTTTAAAGCAAATATCATAAAAGAAATTAAAAAAAGGTAGTTTCTAATTCTCTTACCCGTTTTATAGTAAACTAACATTGTTCCGTGGGGGAGAAGGGGGATGGCTGAATTTTACCGTAGTGTAAACTAACTTCAGTGTTTCAAGTTTTTGGCAGGCATTGTACGTTTAATCTCCGAAAATTATTTTGAAGGATACAAGTCTTCCAACGAATAAAATAGGCCCTTTTAACGAATTTTGTTGATGTGTAATGGATCCGGTCTTCAAGTTCTTTGATTTCGATTTGACGTTGTAGTTGAAAATACCACTTTTTCATTGTTGACCTTTTTAAACTTTGTTCATATTTCCTAGTTGCGAATCCTGCAAATTAACATCAATACAAATAAAAAACATCTATTCAAGCGACAATTATACTATAAACACGATGACATGCTTTAAAAACACATACGGAGTGTCGACTTATTTAATAGCAAACTTGTACCTTTAATAGAATTCTTTTGCCTCCTATAAGATACATAAGACTTCAAAGCATCAAAGCTTCTTTTATTTATTTTGTTGCTGTTGTGTCTGCTAGCTATAGCCAGTTTCTCGTTCTCTGACACTTTTTCTAGCTTGCGGATTTTCCATTCTTCAAATATCTAGAGGAGAAAATTAAGCATTTCTTTACATCACAGCAAACGTAAAAATTAATAATTATTAATATCATTTTAGCAGCGTTTTTTATCTGAGTATACTGCCGTTTGATGCACCTCAAAGCGGTAGCAGTATTTCTACATTAAAATGGAGTCAGGTTATTGAAATTGCTTTGCCAACTTCTTAACTCACAACTGACAAGTAATTTTTCAACTCTAAATAAAAGAAAATTTCACACCCTTAAATATTTTGACGTTAAAAGGGACTAAAATGGTTTTCACCTTCTTTTGATGTCAATATTTTTTCAGTTAATTCATGTAAAATGTGACCTGTCATACTGTCAAAATACAAATTCTTGAGTACCTCAACATTTAACAAACCTTCATTAAATCACAGATGTGCCAATAATAGAAAAGCTGAAAAATGTTATGCGATAAGGAAGAAAGAAAAATTTTTGGTTTCCTTTTATCAGGCATAAGGAATAAACTCTATAAACAAATAAAATCGCTTTAAAAAAACTCCAAAAATTTTCTAAATTAGGGCTCAAGGGCAAATTTTCTAAATTAGGGCAAATTAGGGTTTTAGAGAAAAAAAATTCTCTAAAAAGTTTGCAAGACTTCAATAGATAAAAATTGTGCACCTTAAATTTTAATCTGTAAGCCCAAAAGGACAATGCTTGCATCTCCATGGCCATGTTCTGCCTTGCCAGCTGAAGCCTTGCAAACCATTGTGTAAAAGCAAGCCTGGCGATAAATTGCAAGATATCCACATACAATTAACATCCTCATATTATAAAGAACAAAATACTTTTTGCAAGATTCATGAGACTTTGAAAGGCATCAAGGATTTAAAATAGACATGCAAATCTATAAAAAGCATGATTAAAAGGCACAGCCAAAACTTAAAAAAAGAATAAGCAATATAAATTCACTAGCTTTATTGACTTGTTTTATTTATGGACATAATGGCACAAATTATGAACTACTGAATGCAAATTATCCAACACAATATTTCATAATCTTTTTTTATTTACCAGACTAAATTAAAATGAAAATTCTGATAATTTACTACAAGATAATAAAAAATAACTTGCAAATAGCTTTTTCTGAAGACAATAAATCCTGCTGCAAGCATGAATTTCTGGCAGGATACAGAATGCAATATTTTCACTCTAACGTGACACAAAATTCACTGGTCAAAGCACAAATAAAATAGGTAGAATAGAAAGCAAATTTTCATTACATTTCTTTTTTGTTTTTAACTGATTATCAAAAAATTAATAGAAATGCACAGAAATGCCATAAGATTCTAAAACTACAGAGCAAAAACTCAGGTACCTTGTGACAGCATGATTATGAAAATGATCTGCTTTCTGTTGTTCCTTTTTGATGCTTTTTCTGTAAAGACAGTAGCTCTTGACAGCCTTAAAACATCGTCTTTGACTGTTCATTTCATCTATGATTGATATAAAAGATTTTAGCATATTCTTCATTTTATTAAATGTATACCATAAAGGCTTTTTTAAGCACCCAAGGGGCCAATTTATTTTTTTCAGACCTTAAGGGGGGGGCTTAAAAGAGAAAGGGCTTATTAGAAAGAGGGGGGTTATTAGAGAGGGGGGCTTATTAAAAATTTGAAGTAAAAAATGTTTTTTGAATGCTCTTGTCTATTTCTTCATTATTAAAATATCATACAAATGTTCTCAGAAAACTTCGCGAGCAGCTTCAAAAGTCTAATTAATCAATAATAATGTCCTTATCTTCATCAGAATCACCAGGATCAATTGATAACTCTAGGACGTCTTCTAAACAAACTTTGACAGACTTCTTAGGTGCACAAGGAAGTCTTTAGATGGGCCGTATTTAATGCACACTATCTTATTATCACACTAAATGTGCATGTTATCCTCGTTTGACAACAAAAGGAGGCTTCATAAAGCTTTTATGGTACTAATCAATATTCTAATTTAGAATTGACTGCAAACAAAGTCTCAGGTAATTTATTGGGAATATAGCATACATATTTAGTTTTGGTTGTAACAAAAAGCAATATTTATAGAATAGGAATCTCAAAAAGCTTTCTTTGATTACAGTCTTTTCAATAATTTCAATAAAAAAGTCAAGAAAAATGTATTCAGTGATAAAAGGAATACCAAATTTCTTGGCTAGCGCTACTTTAACTTTCTTCTCCTTTTGATTCAGAAGATACATTTTCCATGTTTTAAAATGAATTTTCCACAATCTATACCTAGGAAAAAATAAAAATTTGTGAAACAAAACATAAAAGAAAATTAAAAACTTACCACGTTATTCATGATAAACTTTAAATGATAAACAATTTGTCAAACCTTACTTATTTCAAATTTCATCTCCATTATCCTATCATGAGCCTCCTCAAACTTTGCTCATGATCATTCATTGCCTGCTTATATAAAAATGGACAGATCTGAAAATCTGTACAACAAATTTTAAAAAAATCAAGCTTTTGTGACTAAAGCACCTAAGTAGAAACGGATGGGCTAAAGAAGCAATTACAGTATACAAATGTGAAACTGAATAGAAGTATAGAAACGAATAGAAATAGAATAGAAACGCCAAACCTATCATGATATTCAGCTCTGATGTTAAGTTTCCAACCCTTTCTACTGTTCCACCATAAGTCTTCTAGACTTTCAAATGCTTTCTTTATCAACTTTTTCTCAAAGTGCATCCTGAAAAGAAAGACATTTTTGTCGTAACAGTTGGGAAAATATAGTAGGCAAGCCGGCTACCACATGTTTGAAGACATATAGGTGTGTGATAGCTTGTGAAATTTTCTTTGCAAGAATTTAGGGTAATTGTTGATGATCTAAGCAGAAATTCCTAGCACAACAAAGAGACCAGCAATAGACCCGGGGGACTGGGGCAACAGACACATCCCCCCCCCCAGTTCTCGGCAGGATCAATTTTGTATTTTGCCTAAATTCGAGCTCTTTTGAAATGCCTTTTTTCTTTCAGAGGCAGTTGCCGTAATTAAAAAACAAAAATTTGCTATTTTTCAAACAAAGGCCTCTTTTATAGTTTTTTTAATTAGAATTTCAAATTTGAAATATTCTTGTAGGGGTCAAAGTAACTGGTGAATCCAAAAAATAGAGAAATTTTATGACTATTTTGGGATTTGATTTTTATTCAGTAGTCTTGACAAAGCATCAAGTAATTTTGTAACGTTTAGAAAAAGTAAAAGTTGGATAAAGATTTAAACTCATCAGAAAAATCCGCAAAACTAGCCAGTAAAAATTTTGCTTTACAAAACGAGGGTGTGTGATATTTTGCACACTTGGAAAGCAGCAGGCATGTGCCAGGACAGGCACATTACAGACATAAGTAAAAAGTTAAGAAAAGCTGTTACATAATTGTTATGTTGTTGTTGTTGTTAGTGTTGAGAGTAGTGAAGACTAGCGAAGCACGTGCGTTGCGTATATGTACAGAGATTCAAGTTTAACAGTGGTAGCAGAGGAAAAAAAGTTCTAAGGAGCGTTATATCAGTGTTTTTTGTGCCATTTTGCCTGATTTTTGTGTCGTTTGTACTGGACTATATTTACTTCCTTCCCTATTTTACGTTACGGAGCCGGTCAGGCCCTAGGCCTAAATCACGCACCGTCAGCTATCATGACCGCCATGAAATTAAATCCACCTGTGTTCAACAGCAGTGAAAAAACGTTTGAGCGATGGGAAGTGGAAGTTCAAATGTGGAGTGAAATAACGGATCTGGAGAAAAAGAAAATGGGTATTGCTGTTGCTCTTTCTCTTCCTGAAAATGAGTCAGTACGGGCGCAGGTGATGGAAAGTGTTCCACTCGATGATTTGAAAAAGGAAGATGGCTTAAGCACTTTGCTCAACTTCATGGAAAAAACGCTCGGTAAAGATGATATGGAGGATAGCCTAGAAAAGTATGAGGAGTTTAAAAATTGTACCAGAGTTGCTGACCAGAAGATAAGTGACTTTATTCTTGATTTTGAACAGAAATATAACCGTATCCTAAAAAAGGGGATTAAGTTACCGCAAGAAATTCTTTGTTTTGAGCTTCTAAGTAGTGCAAATATAAGTAAGCCTGAAAAATTGTTGATTTTGTCTGGGATAAATTTTGACAAAAAGGACAACTTGTTTGAGCAGGCTAAGAAATCTTTAAAGAAATTTAAGGGAGATTTGGCTTCTGGTGATGATACAGGTTCAGCTGCAATAAAATTGGAACCTGTCTTTGTTGCTGCTCCAGAAAATGTTTTGGCAATGGGAAACTTTCAAACATTCAGGGGGCGGCCTTGGTCAAGGGGTCGAGGCTCAATGATGTTCCCCAGTGACAAAAGTCGCAAGATGGCTCGGATTCCAGTGAGTACAGGTGGTGCTTCTGTAAGGCCAATCAATCAAAAGGGCCCTGATGGTTCACTTTTAACCTGCCATGCTTGTGGTTCTTACCGACATCTAGTTGCATCTTGCCCTTATTCTTATGAAAATGCAAAGATGGCCCAACAAGTTCTTTCAGACCCTGCAGAGAAAGTTGTCTTATTTACTGGTTACAACAAAGATGCAGTGCAAGTTCTTGGTGAAGAAGCAATAAATTGTGCTGTACTTGACACAGCTTGTACTTCTACCGTTTGTGGGCAAAAATGGTTTCAATGTTACCTAAGCACTTTACCAGATGGTGAGCTGATGAAAATACAGCAGACCAAGGGTCAAAAGGTATTCAAATTTGGTGGTGGAGAAGTTCTACAGTCTCTCTTGTTTTGTGAATTACCTTGTAATATTGCTGGCAAAGATGTTGTCATTGAAGTGGATGTTGTTATGTCTGCCATCCCTCTTTTGTTGAGTCTAAAATCTCTCAAAAAGGCCAATGCAAAATTGAACATCGAAAAAGATACAGCCGAGTTTTTTGGGACCGAAGTACCATTAAACTTTACTTCAAGTGGTCATTATTGCATTCCTATTGGAAAAACTGATGAGATAAGGGTACAGGAAGTTTGCAATGTGGTTCTGAGTGATGTGATGCCAGAAGAAAGAAAGAAAATTTTGCAGAAGCTGCACAAACAATTTGCCCATTCATCTATGCCCAGACTAAAAGCATTAATGGCTGATGCTGGAGTGTGGAAAGATCAATACAATGAAGAACTTTGCGAGATTTATGATGGCTGTCAGACATGCAAGATGTATAAAAAGACACCAGCAAGACCAGTGGTCAGTATGCCAATGGCAAGTAGATTCAATGAAAAAATAGCCATTGATCTGAAGAGCTGGAAAGGAAAGTATATCCTTCACATGATAGATATGTTCACAAGACTGAGTGTGTCAGTTTTTATTAACAGCAAATCCCCACCTGTTGTTGTTGAGAAAATCATCCAGCATTGGATTGGAGCAGGATGGGGTGTCATGGAAGGAATTTTTTTTGATAATGGTGGAGAATTCAATAATTCTGAAATGCGTGAGGTGGCTAGTATTCTCAATATCCAGCTTTCCTCTACTCCTGCTGAAAGCCCATGGAGCAATGGTCTATGCGAAAGAAATCACCAAATTACTGATCGAATGCTGGAAATCTTAACAGAAGAGAATCCCAAGACAGATGAAAATACTCTCCTGGCATGGGCAAATGTTGCAAAAAATTCACTGCAGATGTGGAATGGTTTTAGCAGTTATCAGCTTGTCCTTGGAAAAAACCCAAACTTGCCAAACATTATGTCAGAGAAACTTCCAGCACTACAAGGCACCACTTCAAGTGAAATTCTGAAAACGCATTTGGATGCCCTATTTTCAGCAAGGAAAGCGTTCATTCAATGTGAAGCTAATGAACGCATACGGAGAGCACTTAGACATCCTATCAGAGCCACTGATGATGTATTTAATCCTGGTGACAGGGTGTTTTACAAGCGTGATGGAAGTCATAAATGGCTTGGTCCAGGAAAAGTCCTTTATCAAGATGGAAAAGTTGTTTTTGTACGCCATGCTGGTGTATATGTTCGTGTGTCAACAAACAGACTAATCAAGGATGTAGACTTGAAAAATGATGATGTGGTTGTTGATCAAAGGGACACAAATCCAAATATGTCAGTTCCCTTGCAAAGAGATAATAGCTCTTGTGCTACAATATCAACGCCACAGCTATGTGAAAACCTGGGTGCATTAAGGGTTGGTCAGGAACAAGACCCTGATACCCAGCACCATGCACATGATATGGAAGAGCAACCACAATTTGCATACCAACAAAAGATCTCATTAAGAAAAAATGACCAGATCGAATACAAGATAAATGAAAACGATCCATGGATTACAGGGACAGTTTTAGGGAGAGCAGGCAAAGCAAGTACCTCAACTAAATACTGGTTCAATGTAGAGGACAAAGACACAGGCGAAAAGAAAAGTCTTAACTTTGAACAACTGAGTGATTGGAAAAAGGTAAATGAAGAAATTGACTTAGTGACTGTCTCTGATACCAAATCTACTTTAAGTGATGTTTTGCAAGCAAAACATGTTGAGCTAAGGAAATTAAAAGATTTTGATGTTTACGATGAAGTTGAGGATGTTGGTCAGCCCTGCATATCCACTAAGTGGGTCATAACTCATAAAGATGGTGGGATGAAAGCCCGTTTAGTTGCCAGAGGTTTTGAAGAGACTCAATATATTGAAAGTAATTCTCCAACAGTTGCAAAAACAACCATGCGAATACTTCTGGCAACTGCTACTAGCAATGGTTGGACAGTAAAATCTAGTGACATCACATCTGCCTTTCTTCAAGGAAAGCAAATTCAAAGAGATGTGTTCATCAAACCTCCTCCAGAAGCTGCGCAGAGTAATGGGGCACTGTGGAAACTTAAAAAGACCCTTTATGGGCTAGCGGATGCTGCGAGACAATTCTTTGACAGTGTAAAAGAGGAGTTAATCAATCTTGGGATGAAACAATCCAAAGTTGATTCATCACTGTTTTACATGACATCAAATACACAAGTTACTGGTGCTCTGATTATGCACATTGATGATTTTTTGCATTGTGGTAATGAAGTTTTTGAAGAGAAAGTTTTGAAACCACTTGCAGAGAGATTTACAGTTGGGCGACGTGCAAAGGACAATTTTACATACATTGGTTTTGACATCAAGCAAACCCGTAAAGGTATTACTATCAGTCAAGGGGCATATGTTGAAAATATTCAAAGTATTAAAATTGATCCAGGAAGAGCCAAGGAAAAGAAAAGCCCCTTAACATCTGAGGAACAGAAACTGTTCCGTAGAATTGTTGGACAGTGCAACTGGGTTGCACAAGGAACAAGACCTGATCTTGCATTTGATGTTGTTGAAATGAGTTCAAAATTCAACAGCAGCCAAGTGTCAGATCTTTTGAGGGCCAACAAAAGTTTATTAAGAGTTAGGCAGCACAATTCAATCATCAGAATTCCACATCTTGGACCTTGTAAGAATTGGCATATTCTTGTCTTCTCTGATGCATCTCTTGCCAACATGTGTGATGGTGTATCTAGTATGGGAGGTCACATCATTCTGCTACTTGGAATGAATAATGCAGCTGCTGCTATAGCATGGTCATGTGCAAAGATCAAAAGAGTAGTCAAATCTACTCTTGCTGCAGAAATGCTCAGTTTGGCTGATGCATTAGATCATGCAATTTATCTACAACAAGTTATTTCAGAGCTTACTTCATTTGATGACATTTCTATTGATGCTTTTGTTGACAATAAATCAGTTGTAGAAGCTGTCTACTCCACAAAATCAGTTGAAGACAAACGTTTGCGTATAGATGTTGGGTCAGTTAAAGAATTGTTAGAAAGAAAAATCATAAATAGTGTTCAATGGATTCCAGGGGAACAGATGTTAGCTAATCCATTAACAAAGCTGGGTGCATCATGTCTGGATTTACTGAAGTG